GTGAAATCGACATGCATCGCAATTAACCGCGTCGATGATCAGCCGCGAGCCGGGTATCCGGTTGCTCGAAACTGACGACGACACTCGCCGATGAACCGTACCTGTCCAGTTCGTCGCCGTAACTCCGCGAATGCGACAACGTGCTCTCCGTGGCGCAGTCTTTGCGGCAGATCTTGCCGTTTCCGTTCTCCATTGACGGCACCCTGTTGCAAGGCAAGTACGATATCTTGCCCTTGTACGTTCTCAATCCTATCAGGCGCGCGACGCTCCAAACGGTGAACCTCTGGCCTCCGATTGCGCGCAGCCGTTCGCTCTCAATGTCGATGTCGGCTATGAGGCCCCAGCCGACCGACAGGAACGAGAAGAGAATCTGATTTCTGGTCTCCACGCGCACCAGATCCATCGGCATCCTTTTACTCTTAACCGCCGACAGCGCGCTGATCAGCATGGGATTGCGGTCGTACGGCTCCCTGTAACGTCATCCTGTTCTCTTTTCTCGTATACGAAAAAACCGGCCCTCTCGCTGTCCGCTAGCGATATCTTCACTCATTTTCAGCAAGACTTTTTATGCCGAGAAATATCGAAAATTACGAGAACAAAGGTGCGTAAACGTGAAACGGTTCGGCGAGACGACGCACGATTTTTTCTTCCAGCCGAATCTCGTATTTTCCAGATTGATATAATTTTGAATTTGTATTTTTTTAATTTTTCATTCAATCGTTGAGTGTTTTAACTCAATAGTTCCCGATATGATTGTATACATTGTGAAATGAATGAGGGCTTGTTGAGTAAAAGTTTGAAACAGCACACGGTGAGAAAAAGATTTCCTCAAATTTGATCAATTTTAGTCAAAGAAATAGAAATACTAAATCTGAAGAAACCTTTTTCTCCGTGCGTGAAAAAAAAGCCACAATATTCTTTTCGCGTACTCTACCGTTTCTTATATTTCCTTTCGATATGAGTGTATGTGTCTGTGTGTGTATGTGTAAAAGAAAATTTATACGAAAGGAAAACGATGATATTCTCTCCGTGTAAGGAAGACTTACTGTTTAGCGTGAGCGATGGACTTTGCCAAGCCGTTGCCGGAGCCGCACGGTATCACACCGAGCGGCAACTCGCGTAAAGCCTTCTCCCAGTCGGGCCTCTGAAGAAGTCCATTCACAACTTCAAAAACGATCCCGTCGCCGCCGACCATCAGCAAGCCGCTCCACTGATAGATATCTCTCGTGCGTATGAACTCGCGGGCGTAATTAGCGTGCTTAGTAATGTGAATCTCATACGGTCTCTCCGCCTCGGACAAAATCGGGTGTATCCTTTTCTGGAAGGTCTCCCTGCCTCTGCCGGACCCCGACTTCGGATTCAGCAGCACCAACAACTTGCGATTCTCGCCGGGACACGCTGAAACGTAATATTGGCGATTCTTAAATATCTCCTCGCCGAGAGGATGAGGACTTCGAAACCAAAATTTGTCGGGGAAAATTAATAACGACGACTTGTCGATTTTCAACGTATCCACGTAGCCAAGCCTCAAATTAAAGCTCTACTTGAAATTGATCGAAGAAAATAATCTTGTTGTCCATTCGATCGATACCTCGACATTTTCGCTATGGGAAAATCGTCAAATTTCCAACGGTCTGAATTTTCAAATTCAGACAACGGTAAAAAGTGAGTTAAATGAAACGTAACTCTGCGAACGATTATATTAGATGTTCTTGCAATTATCAAAAAGTCGATCTAATCGCGTTAAATCACATAATCCGCGCGGCGTTGCATCGTCGTGGCGAACGACCAGGATGACAACACACAATTCCGTCTCAAACGCCACGCTATTTTTTCCGAGTTAATTGAGTTAATTGAGATTACATAACAATTCCTACTGCGATGTGACGTAATAATCTATTACGCTTCAAACAACGCCGGCGGCGGCCGTATCTATCTCGATTCGTGAATGCGGGTCTCTTGTTTATGCACTCGAAACGACTCGAGATTCACAAGATATATATTCATTTCGTGGCATCGCACATCCGTAAGTTTCTCCTCTCGGTTAAACACGTTTGCATTGTTGATATCTGTTATCAAGGAAGGGGGATGCACGAGTCACGAGTCTCGCGTGACCGAAGCGTCGTCGTGCGAGCATTAAATTGCCGGTTAGATATCACTGTTGCATATTTCTCGTTCCGAATATTCCAAGTGAGTCTTCTCAAAAGTACGGAAGTCGAGAGAGAATCGGATGAATAATGAGCGATCGAGTTCTGTCCTATCGAGGACTTTATTACGGAAGCATGTTCGGTGTCCAACGTGACCATCTAATTCATCGTTGCTCCGCACGCAAACGCCTGACGTTTCGTTTAAGCTTGAGAATCATATAGATATATTTAGAGTCGGTTAAATTGAAAAAAGAAATCGGAAGAATGAAAAGAACCGTGCCGATTATAGAAATCTTTTACTGCACAGATTGAATAAAAATTGCGCTACGTCAGCGAACACATACATGACATAGAAATTTGAATTGCGCTACGTCAGCGAACATACATACATGACATAGAAATTTGAATTGCAACGAATTGACTTCCAAAGTCAGCAGAGAAAAGTTTACGAAACTGAAACTATAGATATAGAGAAGTTATCACGGGGTCGATTTAACTTAATATGCTTAATATAAGTAATTATCGGGAGATTAAAAAAAGACCAAAATTCTATTGAAAGAATGGAAGTAGTTAATGCGCCATGTGCAATCTTGAAATTAAGTCCGGTTAATATCATTCGGCTTGCTTCGACTGGTCATTTTTCTCATGAGAAAATTATCTTTCGTTTCACACATTTATTTAAGATAAAAATATATATTCGCCGAAAAGTCAAACAATCGTAATTATTAATCGAAACATTAGTTTGGAGCATGCCAACGATGAAATTTGTTTGGATGCAATAAAAAAATTTGTTAAATTCGAAGAAATCTTTTTCTCAGTCTATACGGTCCCAAAATTGTTTGCCCCGAAGCGTCGTCTTCCCGAATCGTGCGCGTAACGAAAAACAAAAAAGCCTCGTCATCATCGTCACAAATATCTCGAAATTACAAAAAGCGCTTCTTCTCGCGGCAAACAGTGGTTTCTGTCCAATTAACTATTCCACGGTATGTTCATCCTGTTTATCTCCGTGCGCTATGACGCACGGCTGGTAAACGTTAATCTTTAAGACCCGAGTTCGTTCTTCACGCATGAATCCATGTGTTTTGTATCATGCCACCAAATATGATTTTCTTGTCCCTCTTGATTTTATTCCACGTCGAGGAAAATGAAAAAAAAAAAAACGTCGCTTACATCTGGTGCACGTTTTATTTTTTTTTTTGAAATTCCATACATACTGCGATATTGACAAATGGTTGCATAACATGCATGCCGCACGAAAATGTATTTTTATCAGCGATTGTCTAACGAACATTTTCCGCCTTCGTGTTCGAGATGAAGATGCACCGAACGAGAGCCGAAGTCGACTTCCTGCACACAAACTGCCGCAATGATTTCACCCGAATATAAGAAATCGTTCGAAAATCTGTTGAAAACTCAGCGTTTCCCGAGGGGGAAGAGACGTTATCCGGCGAACTCTTCCGACAATAAGTTAATTTCGAGTAATGTCCGCAACTCCGCGTTTAATTGCGGCCTACACGAGTGTTACATATCGCGAATCGCAAGAAGCAGCTTAATATATGCATTACTACGATTTATTCGAAAAACTTTTCAGATCTCATTAGATCACTCTCATAGGTTACCTTGTATTTTTCCTTATGTTACATAATATTTGTATTTTTCCGTTTCTTACATAATTATGTAAAACAGATTTTGGTACGTAAAACAGAGTACAGTAATGTAGATAAACAATTTTATTTACCTTCATACACAGAAAAAAAGTGCTGGATTGAAATAAATAACTACTCAAATATTCCTTAGCAAATTTTTACTTGGATCAAAGAATTTTACTAAATAAAATAATACTAATACTAAATAAACAATATTTACTCGGCCCAAATAAAATTTACTTAATCCAAGCAAAAATTTGCCAAAGAGCGTTGCGACAACTATCTACTTGAATTACTAATATTTTTGTCCTGTTCACTTATGCGACATTGAATGTATATTCAGTGAATTGTATTATTTAATTCAAATGAAGCAGTGACACGTGCAGCGAAGTACTTATTTTTTGGCTCGACGACACAAAACATTTATTGATACTCGTGTTGAGCACTTTGCATAAGCGTGTCAATCGAGAAGACCGGGATAAAGTGTATGTAAAAAAGAAGGCTACTACACGTGTATGTAAAAAAGAAGGCTAGCAAGGCTGCTGAAAACGAGAATAAGCAAATCATCGTCGAGAATGAACCTCACCTACAGATTTTTTTATTACCTAACGTCTGAAACAAGAAATCAAGTTTTACGCATGCATTGAGAAAAAAAGTCGAGTGAGAAAAACCAAGTCTCAGGGTTACGCAAATTTTGTTGTACAGACCGCAATCGATTCGAACTGAAGAAAAATCGAGACCAATGAACAATCCGACCTAGACCGAATTTGAACTATAAAAGTTAATTAATAGTGAAAAGTTAAGGTACTGAAACGCAGTTGTGTGCAGTTGTAAGTACGTGTACATAAATGTTCTTTCAACAACATTGAAACAACGAAAGATTGATGTAATCACATTGAGAAAAAAAATATCTAAAAAATAAAAGATATTTACTCGTTGGGTGGTATTAAAAACATATATACTTGTTAATTATTATTATTATTACTATTGTTATGTATTAATATACATATTTTTGCAGTGAGAAGAAATTTCTTTCAAATAAGAAATTATACATTGTCTTAAATCTGTAGCATTGCGCGAAAGCAATTGTTTATTCTATTTAAATAAAAGAATTTTGAGAGAGATTTAAGTAAATATGTTATTAGTGTCGAATAAATATTTTTTTTACTTTTAAGATACTTTTTCTCTCACTGTGTAACGCGAGTAATTCTATCTGTGATTGGAAGCTTACGTAAATCGAACGATAAATGTACGATAAATAACAGAGATCAAATGACCGATAAAAGAAATTAAATATGACAAATGAGAGAGAGAGAAAAAGAGAGAGATTAAACAAGCGTCGCAATATTACCGAAAAAATTAAGAGAAGAAATTAATTCGCTACACGCGAGATTGACTTTATTCGATTTGATTAGAGTTGCTTCAGCCGATCGTTTTATATAGCGACTCCGCTTGACCTATATTTTGCACTGAATGTACATAAATAATGAAGTGCAAATATAAAAGAGCGATTAATGTCCATGATGTGGCGTGAATGACTTATAATACGCATGATCACAAGATTAGAAGTTTTTTTCTTCGGAGTTAAATCCACGTGCAGAAATTTTTTCAACGTTACGTCGTATTACGTATACAATAGAATAAGATTTGTATCTAGATGAGGCTACATCTTTGCGGCTATTCTCATTCCAAGTATATTCTTTGTTCCTGCAACCGCGTTGTATAAAGCAATTTACGAATATTCGAAAGAAATATTCAAATGCGCCTGATCGGGAATATTCTTGGATGCGAAATTTCTTGGAGTGAAATTTCGAGGACGTACGGGAAAAAATTAACCCTTTGCACTCGAGAGCTCCGGAACGGAGCCCTCGAGTGCAAAGGATTAATGCTATTCCCTAACCTAATATCGTTGAATATTCCCGATCAGACGCATTTAAATATTTCTTTCGAATATGCATAAATTGCTTTTGAATATCTGCTTATCGCGAACTCCATTTTGAATGGTCTTAACGAAATCTTCCATAAAGCGCAAAAAAATTTCGAATAACTTTAATAAACGGCTAGTCATTGTATTGACGCTCATCACGTCTATCGTGCTTTGGTTGTAAAAATAAATCTGATGGAACACGTAAACGTGAAAACGAGCATCATTTATAACGCGGTTGCAGGAACAAAGAATATACTTGGAATGAGAATAGCCGCAAGGATGTAGGCTCGCCTAGATTCAACGAATTTATTTATTCAAATTCGTGCGATTGCTCACCGATCACGGAGCAAATTCTCCACTCTGAATCGCATCGAGTGAACATTTTCAACCGAAACTGAAGAAGAAATCTGATGCACCTCACCGTCACCGTCATAGGAGTATATTTACTCTAATTGATTGAAGAAGCACTCGCTCGTATGGAGTTAGAATCCACCATAAACTTGAGTGAAACATTTACTCTTGCGGCTTCGACGGGCAATAGTAAATAAATACTTTTCTACTCTTCACTCGTTTTATGTGAGATTTTATTACAAGAAATTTAAAGAGCATATTATATCGTGAAATTCTTGCATCCTAATCGTCGATTACTCGAGAGAGTTACGTAATACAACACTGAAGACAATTGATCTGTTACTGTGTTTTACATCAGATGAATGGAAGCGACTTTTCGATAAGTTCATAACCTTCACCTTAGACGGTGCACAAGCAACCTAGAGAAAAGTGTTATTGTCTGGTATAATTGCTGAAAAAACTAGTCGGAGATTTGATAAATGAACGGAGATAGCGGCCGATATCTCCAAGATAAGTATTTACTCGACCATTGACTTCTGCGTATCGCATTCTCCGCGTATCGTCAGATTAATTATTCAATTTCGGGCCCGGCATACTGCGAAACGACGAAACGGGAAGCTAACAAGAAAGTAACTGGTCTTCGCCGCCTGTTATGAGGCAATTGTTGTTGCCGCAATGAACATTATTGTTCGCGCTCGCGTAAAGCGAAGCGTATCGGACTTTCGTCCGTCTTTGTGTACGAAAGTGGCAGTCGTTCGGAATGTTGGTGTATTCAAGCACAACTGAATCACACACAGATGTCGAAAGATACCGAATCCGGAAGGACATTGAGAGGCGCGAACTTTTATTACTTATATATTCTTATATTTATTTGTTGATTTTTGTCATGATTACACGGAGAAAAATAATTTGCCGGCGCAGCAAACTTTATGCTGTCACAGCAAAATCAAACAGTTATACGGACAACAAAACGATTTGTTAAGAATATTAATCGGCATTCGCTGAATTATATTTTGCAGTAAGAACAAAAATCAATAAGCGTAGGAAAACACTGTTTTGTTTTAACAGCGAATTAATTGTGTCCGAAGGACAAATTCATTCAGCAGAATATTTTCTATCCTGATAAGCGAGAAATTATTTCTGCTCTGACTAGGAATAATTTCATGATTTGATTGTGCCAATTAAATTTCATGTAATTAATTTTAACTTGATGGCTTCATTGCAACAGCGAAATTATTTTCTCCCGTGTGAATACGTATCGAAAATCCACCACGCGCCAATTGCAAAAGACGCCGCCGAGTTCTGCGACTCGCGTTTATCAGTGTGGAATTTTTGTTTTACTATTAATTACTTCCTTTGTTATCAGGAAAAGAAAGAACGATACTGTAGACAATCGGATGACGGAGACAGCGAATCTGCTTCCCTTTCGGGTTTGCTTTCACTTGACGAGGCTATGAAAGAACGTCTCACGTACTCAACGACGGATCGAACGTGCGAACGTTGACAACAAAATTTAGCAAGCATCGTCTAATACCGTGACAAAGCGATAGTTCGTTTGCGTGACGTCCGCTAATCCCCGCTCGCGTTACGACCTCGTAAAGCAAAGTGATTTGAAGACCCGATAACGACGGTGACATATTTCTGTCGTCTTTGCGAGATCCTTCACGGGCGTTCTCTTTGTACACCTTGTACACCCTCCTAACTGTTTGATTGCTTTTGTTTCTCGACGCAGCTCGGAATGCAGCCGACGATCCGGCGGAAGAAGTTGTCTCGGATTAATTCCCAGTAGCCGAGTTCTCTCAGCGGGCTATTAGCCGCTCTCCGAAATGCGACGAGAAAGAGGCGTTTCAAAGTTTTCAAGCCGAGCATGCCACCTTATGTAGTCCTTTCATCAGACCGTGAACTGTTTTCCAAACTGCAGCAAGGAAGAAGTGCTCACAAACCGTCTGAAAGTTCGATGTGCATTCGCTTGCTGAACAGTTTCGAACACTTCCTTTCTCTCTCTCTCTCTCTCTCGACGCATTCCGAAACACATCCGACTCATTCTCCAATAAGTGTTGTGTGATTCACAAATTCACTCGTTTAAAGAAGAAATTGAAGGAGAAATCTGAACATTGTTTTGGACTGCATTCGTTCGTTTCTAGCAATACACTTTTCCTGACCGTTGAATAATCCAGAGAGTCATTCGAAGCAGAGTAACATTTTGACAGCTTGATATTCCGTATGCGTCAATAAAGGTTATCATGTAACGAGCAATTGGCAGAATAATAGTGAGTGTATGCGTACGTAAAGATGTTGAGAAAGATAATAGATTAATATATAAAATTAGTCGAAATAATTCTCACACAACACGTATGCCCAAACGACATCTCCGAGACGTCTTTGCGACGTTTTTATTTTTTCTGAGTTAATTAATACAACTGCTGATTGCGCGTTCACTATCATACGCGAGCGAACGATCTTTTTCACGGAAGTATATGCGAAATGTCACATACTGAAATATTCACGAAGTATGTACGAGACGTTATCAGGAATATCGCTTCTGCTTTGAACGCCGTTGTTAATTAACGGTCGTGAAAAATGCGCGGCTAAAAAAAAGGATGCGACCGGTTGATTTTTAGCGGCTATTGATCCAGTGAATGGTGAAGCATCCGCGGGATGAGTGTACACTTGCTTTCAAAACGGTGTGAACATTTTTCCCTCGATGCAGTTTCGAACCCAAACAATGGTCCGATGGAAGAGAACTCGTTTGATAAAAATAAGACCTCTTATCAGACCATCAACATCGTGTCCCCGCATTGCATCGGGAAAAGAACTTTCAAACCTTTTGAAAGCTCACCGTACACTCGCTTTCAAAACGGCTCCGACACTTTTCTTTTTTTACGACGCAGTTCGGAACGCGAACAATGGACCAATGAGAGAACTCGTTTCTGAATAACTTCCAGAAGTTAAGTTCTCTCATTGGAGACCATCGGCTGCGTTTCGGACCGCATTGAGGAAGAAAGCGTTCGGGAACCTTTTTGAAGCCGAATGTACGTTGACGACGTATTGTGTCAACATATCAAACGTCTATTTTTTTATTCGCAGTCAAACGTTAGAACCACCTTGACGATGAATTCAAGAACATAAGAGTAGACTATGAATATCGTTCTTATGCCGGTATTCAAGTCATATCATATATTTAAGACCATCCTAAGTTCATCTTCGGGTGTTTCGTAACCAATAAGACGATCTGCGCAATATCTGAAGATGAACTTAAGATTATCTTAAACATAAGATCCGACGAGTACCGGCCTCGGGGGACAAATTCTCCTACCGGATGCGCTTGCCTACGGGAAGATCGTCGTCGAGAAAGAGAGGGAGCGCATCCCTCGCGACTGTTTTTCCGCCGGCGGTGATTCCGCGAGATAAAAGCGTTCCAATCGATGCAAGCACGCACACAAACACATCGGCCTGACCGACTCACCCCTCATCAACGCATCCAGATTGCCGTGGCTGGGGCTCATGAGGCTCCTGGGTACGGGCGCGTTGGCGACCAGGCACTTGATCGCCAGCCGCCACCTGCTCGCCTCGCGCAGATTGTCCTCGTACTTGTCGAAGCTGCGGAAACGCAGCGTGATGGTGGTGCGTTCGCGCCTGATGCCGCCCTTGACCCGCGTCTTCTTCAACGCGTACGCGTATATGTAGAGGTACGCGGACGTGTCGAGCTCGTCGTAGTAGCTCGCCTGGTACGTCTCCACCGACGACGAAGACGACTCCACCAGCTTCACCTGCGACTTGGACGCGCCCGGCCGACAGGCGCAACTGCCCGCGTTTCTGCGCTTCGAGCGCATGCACCTGCAGCCGATTATGTCACCTAGGGCGATCGTCTCGCTCTTCGTCGCGCCGTTGTGCTCCTTGTGCAGGCTCAGACCCTTCTCCGTCAAACGTACCTTGTAGTACGTGTTCCGCTTCGATGTCACGTAGAAGATCTCCTCGAGCACCACCGCGCTGTCGCCCGGGTTCCCCTGACCATTGTCCTCCATCGCTCGCCGATAAAAGGAGAGCTGCCTTTCTCGCTCTGCCACCTTCGCGATGCCTCTTCCCCCCTCCCCCCCCTTCTCCCCCTGCGCGTCTTATCTCACCGCCGCGTTTTCTCTCCCGCCACCTCGTCCGCAGTGCAAACGGGACGATAGTCTAATCACCTAATACGTCCTCCTCGTGATCTCGCATTCGTGCAACGATCGTAACGGTGATCGAAAGTGGAACGAATGACGCGGGACAACAAAGCGAGCTCCCACGTAGTAAACAAACGACTTCGCTCCTCTTCTCCTCACTATCTAGTTCTCTCTTTCTCTCTCTCTCTCTCTCGCTCTCTCTTGTCGCCGGACTCCCACGATGGTGGTTGTGTTTACCGCAACGCCGCTGGAGTAATCTGCCGGAAGGTCGATATCGTCGTCGCCGGGACTGCCGGCATGCCCTTTATCGATCTTTCGCCGAGGGTAGCACGTGCGAGCGAAGAGAACGAGCGAACAACCGGCCACTCGCGATCATCGTCACCAATCACACGAACTTCCCTCAAGAAGCGACGCGGCGACTACAAATGGACGCTCGCCGCGCTGTCCTTCCTCGGCTGGAAGAAAACAAAAGAAAACGGATATTACGCACACACACGAACGTTCACGGATGACTCGCGGGAGATACGCACGAGGCGTGTAAGGTTGCGCGGTCGAAGCGACGGAGCGGCCGTCGAGCAACTCGGGGCGACTCTCGATGCGAACTGTCGAGCCGTCTGGTCAGCTCGCGTCAGCTGCGCGAAATTGGCTACTTTTAGCACACGTCAAGGCGAGTCTACACCGCATGGCGGCGTCGCCGGGGCTGCTAACCCTGTGTGTAACCTGAGTTCTGCAGAACCGACGCTGTCACCCGGCCTCCCCCACCGCCCGGTGCTCTCTTCGCGACTCGTGGATCATCCCCACTGCCTGGTCAGGTTAAAATTTAATGATTATGGCTGGTATACAGTGCGCCGTGTGTTAGGTTCCATCGCGATGCGATGGAAGTACGATATGACGCTCTATCTCGCTAACCCAGATAAATGTTATTAATCGGTCTTCCCGATTATCGTCGAACGACAAGTTGTGCTGAAATTGACGCTGGAAATTGACGCTGAGTATTTCTATTATTTATTTCGATTAGTTTAATTTGATTTTCAAAGTGAAAGTCATCCTTAATGTGGGGACGTGCCCGGAAAAAAGGTGTGCCGAAATTTAAAAAATACATCAGTTCTCCGGAAGTTGTCATAATCGAGATCCGAATACCGAAACAATCCCTTGAGTTTTATCGAAATATCGAATGTATACGATCGCTTTTTCATCCGACTTATTATTCTTACCTGTTATTTTTACTACTTGTTTTCCCAGTATTCCGTTTAACATGTAATGTCACAGTATTCCGTTTAACATGTATGAAATAGATATAATTCAGCTAAGTCGATTAGATAAGACGGATGATATCGTGTTGCATATTCGAACCTTGCACCGGCACACTTCAGGGATGTCAAAGTACGTTTCAGCGCCCTGATCGCCGTTGGCGTCAATATTCCGTTTTTTCTAACTTATTTGCGAAGTATTCAAGTCCGAAGTTCCAAAGCCGTCGTTTTTTATAGCGTATTTGCATTCAAACTTAAAACTATTATCGGAATATCGTACGATCATTTAAATTTCCACCTCGCAAATTACCGTGTAATATACGGTCAACTTCACATGTTACAAATTACTAATTTTTCTAACAACGAAAAATAATTACCTATCGTCGTTATGAGAATCAGTAATTTGCAAACTCGCGACCGTTTACTTATTAGCGTTATCTGACGCGGAAGTGATTACACCCCTATTCGACTTTTGGAATATTTAAAAACCGCCGAGCGTGCAACAACGAATGGAACGTGACGAGGACATTTTTTATCGCTGGCTCGTGATTGGTCGCTCTTCCGATGCACTCTCGCGCGCACGTATGGACGAGCCGTAAGCGCCAGCATGATCCGTCACCAAGTTGACAGTTTACGATCATCCCTACCTACCAGAGCATCAGTCGGGAGAAGCGGGCCGAAAATTTGCGATCTATAGCCGAGCCTGAGAGACCTCTCGTTTACTCGTGTGAGTCACAATCGGTCGCGGTGCTGTGCCGTTAAAGTCGCGCGTAAGTACGAACAAACGTGGCACGCATTCGTCCTTCGTGGGGAGGCAGCGCACGCGATTTTATTATGGCGATTACATGCTTTTAGCGCGAACAGCTGATTCGGCGAGTCTTTTCCCGCGTGGTGCGAAGTAACGTACAATCGGAGGGAGAGAGAGAGAGAACGCGAGAAACGTCCGTGACGACGACGAAGCGCACGCCGACGGTCCTGTTTGTTGTTGACACAAGATTCCGCTCGAGAAAGATGCGTATTGACGTGTCCTAATGACGTAATTGGTCGAAGAGGCGAGACGGTTCACGCGCGTATGTCCACGTACGTATCAAGTGCGATCAATCGTGCGCCTCTTATGTCGCGGGAACCTGCAAGGTCGACGACGACGAGCGAAAACGTCAAGATCGCTGGAGGTGTGATGAGGAGGCCGTGAGATAGGTGTCGGTGTGCGTGTGTGTGTTCCGTGCCGAGCAATGAAGTCGAACGTGCTTACACTGGTATCGTTATTGCTCCTGGTGTGTTCGTGTCTCCGGGCTAACGCGGAATTGGAGGGTGCCGCGAAGAAACGCGGCGACATCGCGCAAAAGTCGAATTCCAACGAGGAGACGGAGGAGGATGTCACCAATGAGGACATGGAGAACGCCTTCGAGCAGCTGCGCGAGCTCAGGGCGCTGCGGGAAACTATACTGAAGCTGGTGCCAGCGTCCGATTCGCTTATGAATGAAAAAGTTAGCAAGCACAGGAAGGAGGAGGCGGAGGGCAAGGTGGACAGCGTCAGCAAGGAGAGTCTGGAGAGCTCGGGAACGAGGAATGTGTGGATGAAGACTATGATAGCTCAGACCAAGGACATAGATCCTATGGACATAAACAGTAAGCAGCTGGACGAGGAAGATATGGAAGCCTGGGAGAATCACGAGCAGTACGAGAGTACGCTCGAAGAGGAGGTCCAAGAGCCGCTGTCGCCGGAACAACAGGCAGGTAAGCTTGTGAAACATTTGATCTTCGATATTTTACTCGTGTTGTTATGCTTTGTGACAATGGTTGCGTCCAGAAAACACAACGGTTGAGTGATTCGTCGATGTAATTGGTCTAAATTCAGGGATCTAAGGGTAAAGACCAATAATCGATGACCGTTCACTGATCGCTTGTGTTTTTTGAACCCAGCCAACGTGCATTGAGTACTACAATCGCTGTCACCGAGCGCTCAGTGAGCTCTTGGATCTAAATGTATACTTTTAGATCTGATTAAGATCTAAGAGTCAACTAGATCCGAAAGCTCGCTGAGCTCAATGCTTAGTTGTAGCGTAGTAGTAGTTGATTACACCCCCGCATTGTGTTTTCTTACCGTTACAAAATTGAATTTGTCTTCCAGCCGAGCAGATATTCAAGAATGCTCAAAGTATTTTAAACGCAATGCGTGCCAACAAGTCTGAGGGCTACGAATTGCTTATCGAGGCAGCGCAGCTGGGCCACCGAGAGGCCAGATCTATGTTGGCATGGGCGAGATTACTGGGATCTCGTTTGGGCCCCACTTCTTTGAGAGTGTCCATCGATGACATACCCAGCATATTTGAGATATTCAAAGAGCTTGCAGATACGGGTCTTCCATCGGCCCATATGGTATGTACAACATGCGAAAGTCAATATTACAGGTGCCCAAAAATAATCAAGTATCTCAAACTGAAACTACTGAAAAGTAGTTAATAGTCAATAGAGAAGTTTTTATTTTTCAATCATATAATAAGTTAAATATTATCATCCACAAAAATATTTTTGTTTTAACTTTCTCAGAGTACTTACAATCTGTCATGGATCGACAATGAGTAAATTTTATAAGGTCAATGTTAGTACGCTGGTGTTTTCCCACTGGAGAATACTTTTTAATATACAAACTCAATCAATGAAGTGATATTTAAGTTACACAAGTTTGATCACAAGAATATTACACTAAGGAAATATTTATATGTTGCTACTTAATTATTGTGTATTATTTATATATCACTGTTTATATTTATTACACGGCTCAAGCAGAAGCTGATAAGAATAAGAGTTTGGTGAATAAATAAATATTTGATTGCTTATGGGTGCCTCTAATATTAAGCATTGTGGACAACGGAGTGAAGCATTGCGTTCACACAGGGAATGGGATTTTTGTACGCGACCGGAATTGGCGGCGTTAATGCATCTCAAGGGAGAGCCCTGCTTCACTACACTGTAGCCGCTCTTGGCGGCGACACTCGGGCGCAAATGGTAATGGGATACCGTCATTGGGCCGGTCTGACGACGTCACCGTCCTGCGAGCGAGCGTTGGATTATTATCGAAAAGTCGCGAAGAAGGTCGCGGAGGAAGTGTCGCTCAGCGGTGGCCCGGTTGTTCAACGTGTTAGGCTGCTGGACGAGCATGAGAATCCGGGATACACTTCCGGAATCTTCGACCAGGATTTAATCGAGTACTATCAGCTGTTGGCGAAGAAAGGCGACACTCAGGCGCAGGTCGGGCTCGGTCAGCTGCATTATCAAGGAGGCAGAGGAGTTCCTTTAGATCACGAGAAGGCTGTACAATATTTCCAACATGCTGCCGACGCCGGCAATCCTGTGGCAATGGCTTTCTTGGGAAAGGTGCGTATCCCCGTGTGGCAATAATACTCTAACAAAGCTGTTGGTTTTATAGTAAAGCTACCGGCTTCTTTTGAGATAAAATTACAATATTAATTTTAACGGAAAAAACGTCCGATTTAACTGCACCACACGCGCTCTCTCTCTGACCTTCATCAACCCGATTCCTCGCCTGTGTATTTACAGATTTACCTGGAAGGGAGCGAGATCGTGAAGCAAGACAATGAAACGGCGTATAAATATTTCAAGAAGGCCGCTGAGCTGGGCAATCCGGTCGGCCAAAGTGGATTGGGCCTGATGTACTTATACGGAATGGGAGTGGAGAGAAATACCGGTAAAGCGTGGCAATATTTCCATCATGCTGCGGAACAAGGCTGGGTCGATGGGCAACTGCAATTAGGCAACATGTATTTCAGTGAGCATTCGCGTGTTCATAACTCCGTGCTCGGTTAACGTTTATCTAATCGCCATCCGCGTTGCAGCATGCACGTTTGCTTTTAATTTCGTCGATCATCGCTTGCTGCTTCCCGATGGCTCCTTCACAGACACACCGTAATTTCACGACAATTGAATTCACTTTACAGGTGGCATTGGTGTTAAACGGGATTACAAAATGGCGAATAAATATTTCAATTTAGCCAGCCAATCCGGCCACGTGTTGGCGTATTACAATCTCGCTCAGATGCACGCCACCGGCACCGGCATGGTGAGAAGTTGTCCCCCGGCTGTGGAATTGATGAAGAACGTCGCCGAGAGGGGAAAGTGGAGCGACCAGCTGATGGTGGCGCACACAGACTACAGAGAAGGCAGAGTAAACGAAGCATTCCTAAATTACGCTCTATTCTCCGAGATGGGTTACGAGGTCGCGCAAAGTAACGCGGCATTCATCCTGGACCGAGGAGAGACCGACGTTCTGACGGAAGAGGAGGGCTTAGTCAGAGCCTTAGCATTGTGGACGCGAGCTGCAGCCCAAGGATACTCCGCGGCACAAGTATTAGTAAAAATATTTCTTACCCATAAGGGAACAGAATAAGAAAATTGCTTTTTCAAAATAATTCCTTATATCTCGGGAAAAGAAATAACTCGCGTTACCATTAAAAAAAATTATCGCTATATTAGCTGTTTTTAAAAATAGCTTACCGTTATTGTTACTCGGAAAGTAACGAATTGTTACGATTTTTTTTGTCTTGTTTACCAAGTTTTAAAGACTTCACGATTCTCTATCGGTTACTCGATGCACATATATTCTGCCTGTTCATAGTGACGATAAGTACTAATGAACTGATAAGTAGTACAAATGAGCGACTACCTTCTCGTGCGCAGGTGAAACTTGGTGACGCTCACTACTACGGTAGAGGTACCAAGGTCGATTACGAGATTGCTGCGGGCCACTACCGTTCGGCATCTGACCAACAGCATAACGCCCAGGCTATGTTCAATTTGGGCTACATGCACGAACGTGGCCTGGGTTTGGCGAAGGATCGACACTTGGCCAAACGATGCTACGACTTAGCCGCCCAAGCCAGCCCAGACGCGCAGATCCCCGTAGCGCTGGCCCTGATCAAACTCTCCTTCCTCTTCGGCCTGGATTATCTGCAGGAATTCAGTTTGGTCGATCAGCTGGATAAGTGGGATCAGCTGCTCGGGCAGAACTGGGATCTTTATCTTATCGGATTTCTCACGGGAATGCTTAGTCTTATTATATACTTCCGCAGACCGCAGCCACCTCCCCCACCGAGACCTCCTGTTAACTAAATTTTGTACTTTTACTCATTATTTCGTACATATATAAAATATACAATAGATTTTTCTAGACCTAAGCTTGGAAAGAATTTTATAAAGGATTTCGTATACCGGGAAATCATTTTTGATAACGCAATTCGTCCTTCCCAAAGCGATACAGGCTATGTATAATCTCGAGTTCGATATTATTTTCAGCAATTCAATGTATGTCACAATTGATTTTACCTCTGACCGGTGCAAATGATAATAATAATAAATTTGCCGACTCTTGTGGCGCTCTGATGTGGCGTTTCTCAATTGGTAATCGCTGTTACCACGACTTTTACCATACGTTTTCTCATACGCTTATTTTAATTATTATCACGTTGCAGGCTCTGAGCTTAGTTCCTAGTTTGTCAAGTTCCATTGTTATGCTCAATGTTTGCCGAGACATCGCCTACTGGATGAACCGGCTTATCGCAAGCTCCAAATTCCCCCCTTTCTGCAAGGCAATACGACAGATGCAAGTCAAATACGTTCGGTTCACACAATTCCACATATCGTATTATTTTTATATAGGAATGCAAAAATTCAGGCTGCTTTCGCAGCGGTATTTTGCGATTAGTTTTTTGCAGATATAAAGACGGTTATATATATATATGTATACATAGCTTTTTTTCAGTAACACATTTGTAATTACGTTAGATTACACGTACATATATATATTAAGATATTATAAGACATTTCTGTAATATAAACTAAGAATTAAAAAAGTTGTTGATTATTTATCTAATAAAATGGTTTCATTGCCAAAGAATGTTACGATCTTGATATTATCGTGGCATTATCGTGGTATTATCGTGGCTGTGGAAACGAACATTGTGAATATGTGCAGACCAACCGACTTGTAAATTGTGTAAAGCAGATATAAACATTATCAGCGAGTGGAAAATAGTATATCACTTCGAAGTATACCCTGTATATACACACATATATATATATATATATATATATGCGAATGCTTATTGCGCTTATTTGTTATTTTTCGTTATATAATTCTTCCTGCGTTATCGATATTGTTCGTAAGCATCATCATGTGTAAGAATTGTGTTACTTCAATCGATATTGTGTCAATCATTACGCTGACATTTATTTACGCACCTTATATTCGTGTACTTGTGTCTTTCACGCGCGGGAGATACTTTCGGCGATGAACGTTTATGTTATTTATCGGTTCCCCAGGGGACAAAACCAGTTTGGAAGAGATTGGCCAGCAAGAACGTCGTTCGTTAGTTTTCGCGTGGGATAGTTTAACAAGGAGGATGAAATTGTTCGACATTGTACAATACGCGTATATGCGCATATCTGATCGAGATATATTTGATCTGTTATCTTCGCTATGGAAACGAAGATGGGCACGTAACAAGCCCGAAGTGACATTGGCGTCAACAATGCAGTAGTTTCTCCCGAATTCTCAAGGTTTTTCGGCTCAATCGCGTGAAATTTTGCCCCGCCGTCTCTTATGCAGTTCAAAACGAAGCTGTGGTGAAAGCAAGCAAAATAAGGAGAGATAACAATTCGGCGTCCCGACGTACAGAGTCGACAACGAAGCGGACGATAATTTCAGAATGCTCAAGAAGAAGAAGCGCGGGACCGAGAAAGTGCGGAAGAAATGTTTAAACGAGAGGGAAACGATATCTTACGAACAGCAGATCCAGGACTGCAACAGGCAGTTGTCACGGTTCGTTATGAAAAAAAAAAAAAACCAATAACGACACTTTGTGCGGAATTTCGTTCCGTTTTTTGCGCGACGGGCCTTAATTTTCCCCTGTGACTTCGCTTCAAGGTTACGCAGTCGGAACGAGGAACTGGAGAACGAAGTGAAGGCCATAGCAAAGAAATTTGACCAGCTGAAGGAAGACCGATCCGACGTCGTGGCACACTTGAAGCGCAACTTGGAGGAGAGGACAGAAGAGGCGCGAGAGTTGAACGAACGTCTGTCGGCTTTGGAAGAATTGAGGAAACAGGAGCAAGAGGAATTCAAAGAGAAGGAAAACGCGATGAGGCTCGAGTATCGCACCATGGAAAATACCTTAAGCGCCGAAGTAAAACTTGCCGGTAATATATTGTATCACGAATATAGTCGGTGCATTGGGAAAACCATTCCGTAGGCATAATTAATTTTCCCACTATCGCCAGTGGGGAAAGGAAGGAGGAGGCAGATGAAAACTCGGTCGCAGGAACAGAAACTTTCCTTTAGTTTCTACCCAGTAAGCGAGAAACATTAAATCAATCTTTTGAAACTTTTTGAAATCTTTTGATTTTATGTGAATTTTGTCAATATTTTGACATATTTTATGTTTTTAAACTGTTTCTAAACTGTTTTTAAACTGTTACTTGATAAAAAACAGCTTTTAAACTGTTATTTGATAATGCAATATTCCTAAGTATTAAAATGGTGTATAAATGTTATTTTTAATATTTGGGTCAATTATTGTTAACAATGACGTTGTATACAACATTAAGAACTACATATTTGAAAATATGTTGCGTGTTATAAAATATCATTGCGATAACGTTGCGTGAATGATTTCTTGCTTACTGGGCCGACTCTTTGCAGTCTCGCAACGTGTTTGTTACCAACAGGAGAATTGATTTCCTCGTAATTCTCAGAAGATATATATTCTCCTATTGAATAACGAACGCCTTGAAGATCTGAAGTCCGTGGGTTAAAAATATTGCAACCTTGCTTCCACCGACTGTACGCACGGCGGCAGTATGAATAAACGCAGCATATTACATATCATTTTACATTTCATATCAGCTGGCAAGCTGAACGCGTTGGAAGACTGGAGATTAGCTCGCTTGGATCTGATGAATAAATTCGAAACGCAGGAAGAACGAATCGCGAAACAAGAGGAAACGCACAAAACGGCACTCTACGAGAGTGAGAAATCTGTTACCATCACGAAGGCTAAGTAAACAACTCTCTTCACAATAACACGTTTTAGTAAAAATGTCGAAATAACACTTAGTAAAGAAGAATCAGTTGATCTTTACAGCACATTAACGTCTCGGTAAGATCACGGTAATCTTCACGGAGAAAACAAATTTCGCCGGAATAACAGATGTTCGTCAATATAGTGACAGCAAAAAGATATGTTTGGACAGCGGAAAGATTTGTTAAGAATATTAATTGTCCAGCAAATAGCCATTAATACTCTGTCGTGCGTTCGCAGGATGCAAAAAGAGATGGAGGAGCGGCTGAGGCAGCTCGCGCAGGATTTCAAGAAAGCGACGGACATCCGCGTAGCGGACATGATGCACAACGCGGTGAGGCGGAACATCGCGCTGAATCGCGAGCTGAACACGATGATAAGGACCTGCCAGGAGCTGGAGACGCAGAGCGCGGAATGCCGGAGCAACGATCGCATGCTCCGATTGCAGTGCGAACTGTTCGAGGCGGAGGCGAGGATCGCGCTGGGCGACGCTATGAGGCAGAAGCGCGCCATGCACGAGCTCGCGCGCGAGCACATAGACCTGTTCTTCGAGTACGGACAGCTACACCGAGAGAACGCACGCTTCAGTAATTACCAGCGGCTGATGAACGAGTACAAGGCGGTATGCGCGACGTCGGAGAGGAAGGTGAAGGATCTCGAGCTGCGTCTGCAGGAGGTGAAGGAGGCCCGGGAACACGTCCTGGCGGAGGTGCGGGAGAAATGCGCGGAGTTCGACCGGCTGAACGTCACCCTGAACGAGGCGAAACAATGCGTGCTGCAGGCGTTACAGGTATCAGAATCGGGAGAGTTGGACCACGACATTCGTTGGTCTCTGAGCGACGGTTACGGTGACGAACTATTTTTCAAAATGAGTTAACGCTGACGATGTTAATTATATAACGGTAGCGGGTTATCCTTTTTGATGTCTAACGAGCAGGGTTGGGAGAGTTACTTTTTTTTTTAATAGCTCGTTATGTCTCCTGTAACTAAAACAAGAAAGAAATAACAGCGTTGTTGAGTGGTCGTTGGAAAGAAGTTAGTTGTAACGACAACGACGTTAGACAAGTAACGTGTTATTTTTCCTGGGTGTAATCTTGCGAAAATGTTGCCCTCGCGTGAACAAATTTGGCGGATGCATCGTTAATGGGACGATTACCTTCAGCTGCAGAAACAGGACGTGTGTACGAGTGACGTATGTACGAGTGACGTCTGCACCTCGTGTTGTGCCGACCAAAAACAAAAGATTATCCATTCGCTGCAAGATATACTGGAAAAAAGCAGTATTTCCGATATCGAATACGATGACTCGCAGGTAAAGCGCGATAAGCTTAAGATAATCTTTCTTTCTGTCACTTCGGATTAATACGTCCTGATATGTAATAAATTTTCCGCAAGTCTTTGAACTTCGATGCATGTCATTCTTTTCATGTATGTATATTTTTCCTACGTCTTGTATAAAAAAATATTCCAGGCAAAAGTTGTAAGGTTTCGAAACATGCACAATATCGTTATCTTAAATTGCCCTTAAGCGTTTGACGTTTTCCAAGGTAATTACTGACGATTATATATAAAAAAAATTTTATATTATGTAAAAAGATTTTATATAAAAAAAATAAGAAAAAGAAGTTGGTCTTGAAGAAACACCGTCCAAGGGCACCGTTCAAGGTCGCGATATTGTCTCCCTCGAGACCCTACAACTCTTGTCTGAAATATTCTTTTGTTCGGGGCGTAGGAAAAACAGATTTTGGTGGGAACGTTAAAAGCACCTGCACCCTATACGTATGCACGTGTATATTTCAAAAAAAAAAATGAAATTCAAAAATGATGTATAATTTTTCAACGCGTGTTTATCGATTAAGTACATTAACGAACGTTTTTAGGAGGACGTGGACGTAGAGTAACAACGGAACTTGATCTTGTCAAGATGCGTGAAGAGAGAGCCCCCCTCCCCGCCCCTTCCCNAAATTTGTATGAAAACGAAATCGCCTCGCCATGATCGATACTCGCACGCTAAGAGAAGCCACGGAAAAGCCCAAATGCGGTCCCGATCTGCGCCAAGAAACTTGACATATGCAGCTCGTTAGTGCGCAGTGCGTTTGTCGATTGAGATCACACGGGGACCGCACCGAGGCGACTCGGAGAGACGCGTGTGCGCAAAGCGGCGAGCGTTTTGTCGCATCATTTCCGGTCCGTCCGTCGGAATATCCGAAATATTATTCCCGTTTATTCGAGCGACCACCGTGGACTTTCCCGCACGGAGCGGCAGTTTCGCCGAAGGTGACGATCGATTCGACCGTTTCCTCGATACTCCGCGGGGTGTTTCCGCGAGAAACGAGGCGCTTCCTCCTCGTCGGAGACCCCGACGAGCCGACACGCGCTCGGTGGAGCGTGGCGCGAGGTTACGCGTCCTCCTCCCCGCTCGAAATGCGCGCGGGGATCATCGTGGGAAAGCGCATGAATAACAATAAAGCGCTGACGCGGCCGTGGTAGCGCGTCATTTGCGTCACGGCCGGCCGACACCTGCGCGCACGCGACCAGCCCGCGGGAAACGACGTTCGAATCGGCGTCCGTCTCGTTAAAATGTAACAACGGAGACAACGCGCGATCGCCGGACAGCCTGCGAGGAGGATCATGGAGAGCGGCGGAGAAGGAGGCAACGTCGCCAAGGAAGCGGCCGTCGCGACTCTGAACGGCGACCTGGAGTTCTGGATGACGCGGTTACCGGCGGCGCTCAAGAATGTACCCATAATACACCTGGCGATACCCGGTAAGTTCGACGGTGTCACGCACGAGGCGAAAAGTCTTCGTCCGGTCGAAGCCTCACGCCAAGCCCCCCGCCTTGAGTCGCGTCTGATTTAACGGCGCGATCATTGAAAATTGCCGAGGGAGAAGAGAATCTCCCTCCGTTGTCGTGTTCACCTTAGGTCGATTGACAAATCAAGGGTGAAAATCAAGGATCTGTTGTTGCGCATCTGTGTTGATTTTACTGCAAACCTTGACTTTTTCACTTTCGATCGAACATCGATAGTTTCCGTAATGTTTCTCCAGATTCAAAAGTCTTTTCCCACCGAACAAGCGTTGATACTAACGAAGCGGTTTTTTTTTTTCGTTAGAGATATGCCGACGAATAAGATGCGCATTCCGGGGAAAAGATTTCCGAGTGACCCCGACATTTCTGTCACGCGAGATAGACATCCGTCCTTGGACGCAGTTCGATACTCGAGGCTCTCGCGATACGGAGAAAAAGATTACACGCTGAAAACAAGATTGGAATTAAACGCGACGATGAAGGAAGCGAGCGCGTTTTCGCGGAGGGAGACAGCATTTCTGGACTTTGAGAGCCAAATTTGCATTTCAGAATGAGAAATTTTGTCTTTAGTTAGTCTCAACAAACCAAACGCGATTCTTAGAACCATTCTGTTTCCTCCAGCAAAAACTCGACTCGTGAATTCAATCATTCGTTTCTCTTCCATATAGATTTGTCTTTTTGCAATCATGCTTTTTGCGAATTCGCCTCCGATATTCCGTCCACTCCACCGAGTAGAGGAGGAGGAACTCGATGCTGACTCACTCCTCGGTGAGAAGAGGCATTCTTTGATCAATAAAGTAGATACAGTTTTCTCAACGCGTCCTCGACGCGTAGTTTCCTCCCAGAACATTTTCCTCCGAGGTGGCGGACGTAATGACCTAACTATCCATATTTAGTGTCTCCGTGCGAGACTGTAAAAACAAATACAAACTTCCGACAGGTTCCCACGACACCATGACTTACACGATCGAGAGACGCAACGACGTGGGGCCGGACGAGCCCGCCTTCATCCGAACGCTCGGTCGTTACTGCTCGCTCGTTGCCAAGCCCATTATCCTAAATTGGTCTATTACACAACGCGACGATGTCAGGCGGCAGCTCAACGGCGGAATCCGATATCTGGATCTGCGCGTCGCCACGAAGCCGAGGACCCGGGACATATACTTCTTGCACGGCCTGTACGGCTCGGAGATCGGTAAGCCGCTGACGGACGTCGCCGACTGGCTGACCTCGCACGCCAACGAGATCGTCATCCTGGATTTCCAGCACTTCTACTCCTTCACCGAGGAGGACCATCATCGCTTCATCGAGAGGATCAGTCAGATCTTCCGCGGGAAACTGTGCCCGGTCTCGTCCAGGTTCGAGCACATCACCCTCCAGTGGTTGATCCTCAAGCGCTACCAGGTGTTCGTCATCTACCGGAACGTTTACGCGCACAACTACACGAACCTGTGGCCGTCTGGTCTTTGGCGCACCGTCTGGCCGAACACCGTCCGCGTGGACGAGCTGATCGACTTCCTGAACGTCGAGCTGCAGGGCAGGTCCTTGGAGATCGCCTTCGTGTCGCAGTGCCTCCTCACCCCCGACACGTCCTACGTCATCAAGCACCTCTGCGGCAGCTTGCAGAGGGACCTGGTGCCGCTCTGCCGGAAGGCGGTCCTCTCTTGGATCGGCCAGAAACGGCCGGGCCGCGGCGGACTGAACATCGTCATAGCCGACTTCGTGTCGGACAATAACTTCCTCTTCTCCAAGACGGTCATTCAGAGCAATACGAAGCTGCTGCGCGGCTCGCCTTAGACCTCACTCTCGCTTACTTAAGAGTACAAATGCAACAACGACGCTCCTGAACTTAGGACTTAGAAACGCGTTCACACGCTGACGAAGGAAAGCGGTGGAGTCAACGAAATTTGCTTTAACGAGCGAGATCTTTACGAGGCTCAGTTCCGCTGAACCAATTCCTAATCAATCGAGTTGTTGATTAATGTTAATGAATTAGCGATTGACTCGGCAACTGCGATTTTGCCGTTGACCGTATTGACGCAACGTGTTGACACGGTATCTTCTTGAGTGAAAGCAACACCGCCGCTGGTCTTTTGTCGATTCAAACTTTTTTCCTCAGTACAGCGCATCGATCGAGAGATTTCTGACACGTTGATCCGTCGGTGCTGACGGATCACCATCCGTGCAATCCATTGATCAGTACGCGATAACGAGTGTTTCCCATTTGGTGACACGAGTCGATACAGAAGCGAACGTTCTGTCTTCGTTATTCCTTGAATACGGAGCAGACACGAGCAGAATAGTATCGACTCGTGTCGTTGAAGGGGAAAACACACAATAATGCGGCGTCGATATATTTAAGACGTATTTTTCAATTAATGAACGTATATTATCTAAAGCTTTCGACATGACGTATCGTCACACGTATCTGCGGCCTTTAATATTCAACGTCTTTCGGCTAAGCATTGTGGCACACTGTATTATTTGGAGAAAACAAATATATATTTAATTATATATATTATTAATAATATTATATATATATATATATATCTATAAAAAAATATGTTCTCAACTTTGCACTCTAAGGCTAAGCTTAAAGTCTGACTTTTATACACTCCCCCATTTATGATGAATATACAGCAACGAAGAAAGCACTAAGCATATTTGATAAATATGTCAGGTCATATGATAAGTATAATCAGGCTGCTCTAGTATTCTGGGATAGCATAAATTATTAAACTAGAACGATACACGTTCACGTCGGTCTTGAGAAGAAAGTCTCCTGGGAAAGTTGGCACGGATCTCTCTCTCTCTCTCAGACGCAAATGCTAACACACAAGCGACCACGTCAGGGCAATGATAATTTCAAAGAGCAATAATTTCGCTGCTCGTCGATTACCGATACGTCTCTGTAGCACGAACGAAGGGCATGGATATTATTACTACGTTCGTGTATGCACGTATAGTATATGCTAAAGTTTATTTTACTCGTTTCTCGTTCTCCAACACGAAATATCTATGATATTTAAGTATATAAGCTGGCAGTAGGGCAAACAAAGTATACATTGTACAATAAATTACAAGTCGCAGGATGTTCTCGTTCGCACACGCACACACACACATGCACACACACACAGTCGTTTGTACTTTCCTCGATAAGTTCGGTATATACTTCGCGCGCGCGCGAGAATGCCGGGTGAGTGTAAGTGAGAGAATCCGACGAAGGGTAAGAAGTTTTGGCTTTTCATCTCGCGGCTGATTTCGACGAAGTATATATTTTTTCTTCCTCTTTCTTTCTTTCCAACATGTGTTCACATTTCCTCCCGAGTATTTCAATGATAAACGACGAAACTCACGGCTCTCTAGAATTCGCATTGCATTCGCTAATCCCGGCCGTAACCGGTCATAAAGCCTTCACTTTGAGTTGCTTCATTCTAGGGGCGCGTTTCTTCGCCAGCCTGCGCTGCTCCTTCTCCTCCCACTTGCGCTGCTTCTCCGGATCCTCCTCCTGGAGGATCCTCTCTTTCTCGGCTCTCCGGCGCTCCTCTCGCTTCTGCGCCGCCGCTTCGGCTCTCGCGGCGTGCGTTGTCTTCAGGAAGGCTTCCTCGACTCTGAGCCGATTTTTATCAGCCTTGTTCTTGCCCTGCGTACGATAAACATCGTCTCAAGAACGTGCAATCTCACGAGTGTTTTGCGCTTCTGAAGCTCCTACTCCCTCGTTATGTACAATGATCGAGAAATAGTCGCGAAATTAATTAATTAATTAAATTAACGTGATATGTAATCTGTTTTTTAACTTTTATGTGATTTTCCCGCGTTAACTGTGTGGCTTTATTTATTTATTTTTTTTTATTATTATTGGAGCAAAGAGAAAGTCCGCGAACTATTTAACGAATCTGTTCAACCGATCATGTTATTTTATTTTATAGACAAGTCTTTTCATCCCGACGTATTTTGGGAAAGATTTCAAGCGTGTATTCTCTCGCTTCAGAAATTCATCAATCGCGATGAGAGACGGCAGGAGCGTCGAGGCGTAGATATACGAACCTCCTTGGACAACTTAAAACGTCGCAGCTTGTCGAGCAGGTAAAAGGTAAAATGAAGTAATATCTTGAGCTTCTGCCGAGTCTCCATGTCACAAGTGCGGCCTTTGAGACTTATATTCAGGCCCACCATCAATACCCTTCTTACCTCGGGCATTGTCAATTGAGCGGTGTCTCTGGAATCAAAATTCAAACGTTAATTCTTAGAAGGTAGGCGTGTGACGAGAGTGTGTATGGCAGCGAGAAACAATCCAGAGTCTCTCTTAAAACTCGAGTAACGCCGCAACGCTGAGCCCTTTGACCTTCAAGCCCGAATGTAAACCAGCCACGTGCCAGTTTCGAGACCGACTTAAAATAAACTAGCCGAAAGAGAGAGAGAGAAAGAGAAAACTGGAACTTCACTTACTCCTGCTGCTTGCGCCCGCTGAATTGGTCGCTAATGTGAATGTAATCAATGTGAGGCGCGTATTTCGCGAAGAGATGTTGCACCCTGGTGTCCAATATGGCCGACGCCGCTTCTGCGATCTCGGACATCACGCAGAAGCCCGACGGAAGACCGAACTTCTCCGCGGGCCGTTTCTCCGGGCAGTACACACTGATGTCGGCCATGTCGCGTACTAAATGCATCGCCGTCCGCTTCGAGGCGATCGCCAGCACAAAGTTGTCCGTCTCGTCCTTCGAGATCTCCATGTGTATGTGAGCCTGATCGTTCTGCGGGCGCACCAGCTGCGCCAGCACGGCGACCAAGTCCTGCCGTTTGATCAGTTTCAGCTCGACGAGCATTGAGTCGCATCCGACACGGCCGGAGCAGTACAGACTGTATTGCGACTCGCTCTCCTTCATCAAACCGTTGCCGCTGCCGTTGTCGTTCGCGTTGCTGTCGCTCGACCTGCCCGCGTGACCGATCAGGGAGAAATTCTCCGCCAACACCTGCTGCTGATCCATCAGCCACTGCTCAGCTATACGGGCGTTCTTCGAACGTCCCACCATGTAGTTGATGAAATACACCAGCAGTCCGGTGATCATCAGTATCTCTAGGTAAAAGCTGTCCCATCTGTCCCGCAGATGCAACGGAACTTTCGTAATGGTCAACGTGGAAGGCTCGTCGGGCTTCGGACCGGCGTTACCACTGTCCAGCCCCTCGAACTCCTCCTCGTCCTGAAAGTGATCGAATTCACTATCTCCGTCTGACACCAGGACGTCATCCTCCTCGAAGTCCTGATTGAGATTGCTCTCCTGCACCGACTCTGCTACGCGCTCATTGTGCGTGCTCAGCTTCTCCTCCTCAAAGTCCTCGAATTCCGCAAACTCATTGTCTTCGGGCACCTCCTCGTGGAAATGAGCCGTGACCCATAGATTAGTGGCGACTAATGTAATGTGCACTATCACGATCCACAGTTTCATGTTATCTGCAACAAGTAATTCTATGTAGATATACGGATAATCAGAAAAATATACCTTTACTTTTAAATATATAATTATAAATATATATATATATATATATATATATACTTTTATTTGTAGAAATATTTTTAAAAATATTACATATATTTATAAGTATATTTAATTTTAGTAAGAATCACACAGTGTTTTGTACTTTGCTTTAGAATTGTGGTGGATTAACGTCTCACTGACAATTCCGCGATGAATTTTTCATTTAACCGAAAAAGTAGATATACGAGTAAAATAAAGACGATATTTGCGATAAATGTAAAATTTACGTTTCGTAGCAACTGTATATGCGGTAACTGACAGATAAATTCTTGCCCGGTGATGTTATAAAGCATGGGTGACTGCGTGAAATGTTCTGAATAGAAGCGTGATGCAGACAAATTACGTGTAATTAACCTATCATGTGTCGTCGGGTTTGCGCTGTCTTACGAGATGCACGTCTCACCGGTGGATGAAAGAGAATCTACATGAGATGACTATTTTCGGTCATTGAGCTCAGTTGTAGGAAAACGAAATAAGAAGTGGATCACGACGAACACCGCGAGGAAACTGTACGGAATGACACATAAATGACTTGCATCGGCTGCATGCCACGAAGTCACTGCCAGTCACCGTGTGTGTGTGTGTGTGTATGCGACGTCATTTCCTCGAAAAGAGAGTTTCACAATTTTTAATTTCTCGTCGTTCATCTTCCTTTCGCACAGCATACGCGAAACTTATATAACGCATCGGTCATTCGTACTTTCACCAGTATTTCTGCCGACGGAAATACGCATGAAGCGATAAAAACTCTCGGAAAGCACGTTCCATCGTGATACACGAAAAGAATGACGAAAAAAAAGGAAAAATGCAAATGTCTGTCACAAACTTAAGTGGCAGATAAAACGCACCTTCGAATTTTCGTATTTCGTGTAGACAAAATACCTTTATTTGTTCAAAAATTTATATTCATTACACTTTATATATAATATTTCATTACTATGTAAGGACTAGAGAGAGAAGCCCGAGGGCGGACACGCTGGCGTTTGACGCCGCTTTGAGCTGACGTCGCGCCATCTGCGTGACATCTTTCAGTCGGAACTGACTAGCTGCCGTTTCTCAGTACTGTCGGTAAAATCGGTAGTTTGGTGCATGTCTATGCTAACGCTGTTAATTCCGACTACCCGGATATTCCCGATCCTTTCGGGATCACCCGGGTAACTTACACCCGGTGTCACCAAGGGCGTTAGGCTCGTATTACACTATTAGGCTCGTATTACACTATAGATTAGAATTGAGATTGGATTGAAATTCGACCAATCCGAGTCAAAGTTCATCAAACTTAAGTTTAGTGAATCCCGCTCCGATTGGTCGAATTTCAATCTCAATCCTAATCCGGCGGTGTGACACGGGCATTAGTCTGGGTGCAGCCGCGCGCCCGTCTCGTCCCGAGCGTTCGATGACGAGACGAACGATATCGATCTCGGCGTCCCCGGCGTCGGCGGTGCGCCGTCGCGGCGAGAGTCACTCGCGCACGTTTGTCGCGCGTTCTCACGTTGCTGTCACGTCGTGTCGCTCTTTCATACGGTAGTCGTAGTTATGCGATCACTTTCGCGTAGTGCGAGCGCCTGCGAGTCGCGCGCCGGCTGACGCTCCGGACGATCCGCGTCGCGGCTGTGCCGACCTTTCCAGGGGGCGACGAGAGAATCGATATGCGAGGAGGCGGTGAACGACGGCAACCCGTTGACAACAAATCCACGGGCTAAACAATGGATCAATACCGATACCTCGCGACGAAGGGCAACTCGTAGGGAAAAAACGGTAATGAATCGCCGCTCGTGGCGCGCGCGCACACCACATCCCTTAGTACGTTTGTACGCGTTGGCTTTCGTGATCGGCGAATTTAACGGTGAGGTAAAAAAAAAGGCTGCCGAGAAAACACCGCGACGTCGTCGGCTCGCTTCTATCTACTCTCTCTGTTTCTCTCTCCTTCTTTCGTGTGACGCACGTACGTACGTATATTTGACCCTTGATCCTTAACCCTGCAGAACGGATGTACCGTACAGTGCCTCTCTTTCGTTCCTCTGTCTCTCTTTCTCTTCGTGTCTCTGCGGAGAAAAACATTTCCGTGTGACTCCGCTTTCTTTCGAAAAGTTTAAACGATACACCGAGGAACACGAGACGGGAGAGTTCTGAGAGAGAGAGAAAATAAATGTGAATTATTTCACGCACACGGACTTCCGGGTGTTTTGCGTAATTTTATGTAACCTGGTTTCCATCGGAAGGTGCGAACGATGGGCTGAGAACGGGTGGAAATTCCGAAAGGTACCGACCTTGACATCATCACGCGCACGTCTCTCTTCACGTTCACGCGCTGTGACCTGGGGGAAAAAAAACATGGATTATTTCGCATGAGCGAATTTTTCCGCGCATTCCCGCGCGTAGCTTTCCGTTTCCCTTTGAAAAGCACGAGTGGGCAGATTGGGAAACGAGTGGACGTTCGGAGAGACCTCAGCCTTGATATCACCCGCATGTTGTTCAGACTTTTTTTTTTTTATCATAGCGATGACGTTACGTAGGTATTATGTGGGAGAGACGCGTTCGAAATTATTGACCGGTTGGAAAAAAGTGTATGTATATAATTTGATTGACGAAAGATATTCCTCGCAGAGCCGACGACTACCGGCTCCGAGGAAATAAATATTTTATCTCTCGTGTATCATTTACTTATTCTGTTCTGCTTCATCCGATATCTCCCGGCGAGCCTTTCGGTCACGGTGACTAAACCGTTGGGAAATCACCTCGGCGTTACCTCGATCGGCGCTGTTCGCAAAAAAAGGACACGTCATTGAAATAACCATCGAGATACCGAAACTTCATACGAGTGTCACTTTAAACTAGCCCGAGTCTGTTCACGTGGGACGTTTAAACCTCTGTCGAACAAGGATCGCGGATTCAAGATCGGAATTTGACCGGTCATCGGGGCAGAGCGAGAGCCGAAATCGAAATTATTCGATTCGTCGAATTCCAGTCTCCAATCCGTAATCCTCAATCTCCAGTACTGTGTGTAGGTCAGTGTCAGCATTCTTGAAGAGGTTAATCGGAATTTAGCTAATATCACCCCTGGCCTGACACAAGCTTAACGTGAAGGCACCAGCAGAACGGCTGAACTGTAATTTCACGACAATGTTCTATGCCTTAAAATTTTGTCTAAATGATCTGTTTTATCGTAAAACGATTTTATCACAACTCCAGACATAAGATAATCATTTACTTAAGATAAAGTCTTAAGGCATAAAACGTGGTATCGAAACTAATAAGTTAGTTATTCTGCCAAGGTTCTGATAATAATGCAACACTTGTGCTTTTCCACTCCTAGTTAATCATTGAACTAATGATTTCATAGAGATAAACTTTCCCAGTTTAATGATTAACCACGAATGGAGAAACATAATTTTTACATTGTACATCAGGTTGAGCGAAAAAAAAAGACCGCCAAAAATTAACCACCAAAATGGAAAACCGGCCCTTAACATTCCACAGTCAACGCATGCATTCGCACGATCAATAAGAAGCACGCTTCCGCTGTTCGACAGACGAGGAAGAGAGAGAGAGAGAGCCGTGTGCATTCGGGACTCCGGCATGGAGAAGCAGCTGGACAACCAACAGAAGACCTGGAGGAAGAAGGGCATGAAGTCGAGCAGCGCGAGCGTCACCGAGGTGGCGACGCAGTGCGTGCAGGTGGTGGTGCGGTGCCGGCCGATGGACGAGCGGGAGACCAGCCGCGGCTACACCCGGGTGGTCGACGTGATCCCGTCCAGGGGTGTGGTCGAGGTGCGGCATCCGCGCGACGACCCGTCCAGCGAGACCGTCAAGGTGTTCACCTTCGACGCGGTGTACGACTGGCACTCGAGCCAGCAGGAGTTGTACGAGGAGACGGTGCGGCCGTTGGTGTCCTCGATCCTCGACGGCTTTAACGGCACTATCTTCGCGTACGGGCAGACCGGCACCGGCAAGACCTACACGATGGAGGGCACGAAGACGGACCACGAGAGACGCGGCGTCATTCCGCGCTCCTTCGAGCACATCTTCAATCACATCGGTAGATCGGAGAACATGCAGTACCTGGTCAGGGCGAGCTACCTGGAGATCTACCAGGAGGAGATACGCGACCTTCTGCACCCGGACCAGAGCCTGCGCTTCGAGCTGAAGGAGAAACCGGACATCGGGGTGTTCGTGAAGGACCTGTCGAGCGCCGTGTGCAAGAGCGCCGCGGAGATCCAGCAGCTGATGAACGTCGGCAATCAGAACCGGACGATCGGCGCGACCAACATGAACGAGCACAGCTCGCGTTCCCACGCGATTTTCATGATCACGATTGAGATGGGCGGGATCGGCGACACCGGCGGCATCCGGGTGGGCCGATTGAACCTGGTCGACCTCGCCGGCAGCGAGCGGCAGAGCAAAACCGGCGCTTCCGGCGAGAGACTGAAGGAGGCGAGCAAGATCAACCTGAGCCTGTCGGCATTGGGCAACGTCATCTCGGCATTGGTGGACGGTAAAACGACGCACGTGCCGTACCGGGACTCCAAGCTGACGAGGCTTCTGCAGGACTCCCTCGGCGGCAACTCCAAGACGATCATGGTGGCGAACATCGGGCCGGCCAGCTACAATTACGACGAGACCCTGACGACCCTGCGCTACGCGAACCGCGCGAAGAACATCAAGAACAAGCCGAGGATAAACGAGGACCCGAAGGACGCGCTGCTGCGGCAATACCAGGAGGAGATCGGCCGGCTGAAGGAGAAGCTCGCGCAGAGGGGCGTCGTGCAGAAGAAGAAGAGGAGGTCGAGGAGGAAGAAGGAGGACGAGGCGATCGACTCGGAGTCCGAGGAGACGGAGGACAGCCGGGGCGAGGAGAACAACAAGGCGGCCGGGACCGACAAGAAGCTGATCGCGGAACAGCTGCGGGCCGAGAAGCAGGAGACCGAGAACCTCGTGCAGCGCATCAAGGACCTCGAGAGCAAGATGCTGTGCGGCGGCAAGAACATCATCGACCACACGAACGAGCAGCAACGGGCGCTCGAGCAGAAGGCGGCCGAGATCGCGGAGCGCAAGAGACGCGAGGTCGAGATGCAGCAGAAGCTCGAGGACGAAGAACTGACGATGGTGGGGGTGCGGGAGACCTACACGACGTTGCAGCAAGAGGTGGACGTGAAGTCGCGCAAGCTGCGCAAGTGCTTCACCAAGCTGCAGGCGCTGAAGCAGGAGCTGGAGGACGTCACCAGCGACTACAACCGGGACAGGCGCGACCTCGAGCAGGAGCAGCACGAGCTGATGAAGGAGCTCAAGCTCAAGTACCTCATCATCGAGAACTTCATCCCGGAGGAGGAGAAGACCAAGATCCTCTCCAGGATCCATCTGGACGAGGAGGAGGACTGCTGGGTGGTGAAGGAACCGGACCCGTCCGGCGTCGACATCATCAGACGGCCGACCTCCCTGCCGGGGACGCGCCGACCGGTCTCGGAGTACGCGCGGATCGCCCTCGCGATGGGACGGGGCTGCCGGTATGCCGGCGAGAACATCCTCAACCTGGACCTCGACATGCCGGCGCGCACCACCCTGGATTATCAAGGGCCGGCGATCGCGCCCACGATTCAGGCCGTCCTCGAGGAGGCGCTGCGCGACGAGGGCGACATCGATGTGGACGCGTCGAGCACGAGGCTACGGGCCAAGCCGCGGCTGCAGTCGGCGACGCGGGTCAGGCCGAAGAGCGTCGCCAAGGTGCAGCAGATCCCGGCGCCGGTTTACCCCAAGACGAGAGGCCTCGTACCGAAGTAAAAAGAAAACGCGATCAAACCCCGACCACACGCTTCTCCTTTCTTCGTTCTTCACGGGAGATGTACATATTGTATTGAACGGCGTGTGCCCTAGTGCTTTATTTAAATGTTCGCGGATATTCGGCAGCCGACACGCCGGGACGAGAGAGAGAGAGAGAGAGAGGGCGGACGCGTCTTTGTAATTCTCTAGTCATTGTGCAATGCGTTAACACACATACACACACACACGATTATCGCTACGTCGGGCATGTAACTGTTGTGATAATATAACGTGAAATAGATCCTCCCTTCGGTTTTCTCTCAAGTTCTTCTTCTTCCCTTTCTCCCCGCAAAGCGTCTCCTTCCGGGAAGAAGTATGTTGTTGCGCGTGAAGTCGACTCTATACGATGTGGCAAATGTGGGCGAACGTTGGGTCCTTTGACCTTCACACCGCACTTTTATCGTCGCTCGCACGGTGGTGTCAAGAATCGTTGTTGCGTGTAAAGCTTGGAAGAAAACCAGGCGTATCCCACGAAACTCTCACGTCGCGTGCTTTATTTGAGATTGAAGGCGATTGACCGATACCGTCGATATCACTCCCTCGCTCTATAATACTTACTATTGATAATTACATTGGAATACCACAGGTGATTATGGATGATGAATATCTTTTCAAATGCTGCCGGACAATCATTTTACTAACGTTCTGAAAATGCCTCCTTTCCCTTTCCTTCGAAATATTGCTGAAATTTCTGTACAACGCGCACGCACGCTGACGATTTGTTTTTCTCGCGTATTAAATATGATATACAAACGATAAATTATTATACAGAACATTTCCTATCAACGTGACGAACGGTGGTTGACGCACGTATCTCCGCCGACGGCCGTCTCGTTTAATTTTACTTACTTCTGCTTGGTCGGGAAATCACGCACACACACAGGCACACGACGTATGGTAACAACGGCGCGCGCGTGCGCATACTCACCACGTTCACTACGAGAAACGTATGCAACTCGCGCGAAAACGACTTACATTCGACCCCGTGTACACTCGACTCACATTACTTTCACTGATGATGGCTGCACGCCCCGATATTCACCGGCAGCCCTGAAAATCTATAGTACACGTGACGTGCACTATAAATCTCCAGGACTGACGGTGAATATCGCAACACAACTTATACATACCTGCACGCGCGTACATACACACACACGCACACATACGCACGTCTAGCGGGCACACAGAAAAAACATGTACGAAAACGCGAGTGCGATTATGGACGTGTACGAACGTGGAAAAGATTTCGCGCGTTACAAACGTCGCGTGTTCGACGTGACGCGGCGGGTTCGCCCGTCACACAAGGAAGGTCACCAGGACTCGCGCCTTCTCATCTCATGGGAAGGCGACACGGAGTCAATACTCCTGCACAACGGAGCAACGCGTGGCTAAGGGCTTTAGCAGAATGGCTGACTTGTTAGCTCAAGACAATCTTTAAGGCCTCGAGTCCTTGTCTCGGAACGCACAGCGACCGCCTTGTGCCTGGAATCTTAACACTCAGAACCAGTCTCGCAACCGGTTAACTTCGTCACTCGATTAAATGTCAATCGTGATTGGCGATTTCTGGTTAATTTTACTCAACGGCAAATGAGATTACTCAATTCCAGTGGAATGATCGGCGGGTTGAGTTAACCGGAGTCGTTGTGAAACGGCCCCTTAGACCCACTGCCATGTCACTCGAGTACGGTTTTAATCACTGAAATGGGAATGATATATATTTTGTGGACTATTTAGAAACAGATGTTAAGACACTGAGAATGAAAGTAATAAAATATAATTTGTACACGATATATATATATGCTAATGTAGAAAAAAACAAAATTACAAATTTATTGCAAAGTAACCACACCCAGATTTACATACATCTCTTCTAACATTTTGGAAAACAATCCATGCATAATTGAGGTTATCACTGCATCAATTTCTCAAGAATATTTACATTAGACAATATGTAAGATACGAAATACGTTTAGGAGTAGATACACCATCGTCCTTCCGTTGAACACGTGGTTTGCTTTGTATTATGACTGCGTATATACATTTATACGAGTCTGTTTTCTGTTCCTGAATTGGGTCGCGCCTTTTACCGTTAGAGCGAGACGTGTGTGTAACTTAGCGTCGAAGGGAAGAGGAACGGAGTTCCAGCGCAACCTTCGAGCTCAACAACAGAAAGCACATGGTCAGATTGGACGCACGTTTGTGCGTGTCGCGACTTCGGGCGCCGAGGGAGCTCTCGAAACCAGTCGGACGGTCTACTCAAATAAATAAATCCCAAACCTAAAAAACCGTTCTGCTTCTGACGACAAACTGCCGTGTGATAAAACAAAAGATCAATGAAACGATAATGTGGACAAAGATTTCGGGCATAGAGCGTTGTCTTAAAATTACAAGTCAGCTGTTCTGCCGAGGCCTTGAGAAAGACGTGTTGCAGATTGTACTTTACAGCATCTCACCACCACGTTTGTCACACCACCGAGTCCGGGAGGAAAAGTGAGCGCTCGTTCCTCCCGCGTTGCGCCGGCGACAACCCGGGAGAAGAAGCGAGCACCCGGACCGTCAGCTGGGGAGTCGGAGAATTATTTTCGCTGCCTTCCACTTAGCGCTCGCAATCCTCGCATCATTCTATCCTTGTTTCTCTCGGACGTTAAACAAAGATTAAGAACGATGCTCGCAATCGTTGCGAGCGTTAAGTGGAACGCTGCTTTTCGTCACGGCCATGTGGTTTGCGTCACTTTGGCTCGTAACTTGCCGCCGCTTCTCGACTGGAACAACTTCGAGAAAGCTGTCGACGACGGCTTGACGAGGCCGGCGAGGCCGGCCGAGTGTTCACCGCGCAGTCATCCGTGTCATCCGCATTGGTGTCTCGCGCGAGAAGAAATTGTCCGTGGGGGTGGAGGGGAGGGGGGAATCGCGCGACACCGGGATATGACTGGCGTCCGTTCGTGTCCGTTGGCGCATGATCAATTGGCCGATCAATCATTCGCTTAATTCTTACGTTTTACAGGGGAGACGCATATCGGCGCGACGGAGAGAGTGAAACGAGAAAGAGAAGACGACGCTCTCCCGACGGATTCAATAGAAGCGCGGTTGCTGCATGTAGCTGTCGTACTGCTGCGTCTGCGACGGCGGAGTGTAGCCCGGGGTGGTGTGCGCGGCCGGGGGCGGCGCGTAAGAGCCGTAGGAGCTCTGCTGCGAGTACTGGGCGCCGTACTGACCGGACATGTTGCCGTAGCCCTGATAATTGTAACTATTGTCCATGTATCCCGAATTGTTCGGGAACATCTGCGGCTGCTGCTGGTAGCTGGGGAACTGCTGACTGCCCGGCACGTTGGGATAGGTGATCGTTTGGCCCGGCGGCCGCGGCTGATTGCCGGAAGGCGCGAACGGCGGCTGCTGCATCGGATTGTAGAAGCCGCCGGCTACCGACGGCATCTGCTGCTGCTGCTGCTGCTGATCGACGGCGCTCGGCAGCGAGTCGAGCTTGTCCTTGCCGCCGTGCAACTTGGTGACGAACTTGTTCGGCAGGTCGCCCATGATGTTCGCGATCAGCCGTTTGGTCTCGTTCAGTATGGCGTTCGGATCGTTGGTGCGCGAGGCAGTCTCCTTCGGCCGAGGGGGCGAGCGCGACTTGGAGCGCGAGCGGGAACGCGAGCGGGACCACGACTTGGAGAAGGCGCGCGACGTCTTCTTCTTCGCCTTCTCGTTCTCGCTCACGTTCTTGTCCGCCGCCTTGTAGATGTCCTCGAACGTGTAATCGTCGTCGTCGTCCGACAGGTCTATCTTCGTCTTGGCCGTCTTCTCATTGTCGTTGTCCTTCGTCTTCTTGCTGTCGGCCGGTTCCTCGTCGTCGTCGTTCGCGAACATGTCCAGCTTCGGCTTCCACTTGTCCTCCTCGTCGGTCGGGTTCTGGTTGCTCTTGCGAATCGAGAACGGCGAGACGCTCTTCCTGCTTTTGCCGACGGTGACGGCCTCGACGGTGACCTCCGGGGTCGGCGACTTCAAGCGGCCGCCGCTCGTTGACATCACCGACGACGACGTGCCGAGATTCACGAAGGCCCTGAGCTTCTCCACTCGGCTCGGGTCGCTCGCCTCGAGCTTCTTCAGGAAACCGATGAGATTGTGCTGCTCCGGCGTGCTGAGCTCCTTGAAGTTCTGCAGCATCGACTTGAGATCGGCGTCCGACAGGTCCTCCACCTTCTGTGACTGCCGCTCGTTCGGCTCGACGGTCTTCTCGACCGTCGACCGAGCGGCGTTGCTGCAGCTCGCCAGACCCTTGACGAAGTCAGCGGTGGTGACCGGCTTGTCGGAGAGCTTGGACGCCTCCGCCATGCCGACCACCGCGTTGATCAGAGTCTCGAGGTCCTCCTGCGAGACGTTCGACTTACCCTGCGCGACCAGAGCCGCCGCGATTTCCTGGGCGATCGCTACCTTGTCGACCGTACCGACACCGGGCACGCTCACCGGCTCGGACTTGATCGCAGGCGCAACGATCTCCACCGGTCTCGAGTAGGCGGCTCTGCCGGCGATGTAGCTCGCGACCGGCTTCGCGCTCGGCAGGAGCTCGCGCTCCAGTTTCCGCTTCTCCTCCTCCAGCTTCTTCTTGCTCTCGGACGCCTTGTGCAGCAGCTTCGCGATGTTCTGTATCGCCGTTTTCGTCGGGCTCACCGCCATCTTCTCCACCATCCCGGCGAACAGCTGGCCCTTCAGCTTCTCCTTCACCGTCTCGAAGATCACGCTCACCTCCTCGTCGAACAGCAGCTCCTCCGCGGAATTCGGCTTGGCCTTCTCGGCGGCCAGGGCCTTCGACAGGAGCGATACTATCTTGGGGCCGAGGGAGCCCAGCTGGCCCTCCAACGCTGTGAGCAACCTGAGCAGACCGACCACCTCGAGGTCCTCCGTCAGTGTCTCCTCCTGAGACGAAGGCGCCGGCGAGTCGTCCTTCACGGGGTATGGGGTCGCGAAGTGGATCGGCCTGACGCGGGTGGCGGTGCGCGGGTAATAGGGGTGGCTGTAGCCCGCGCCCCTACCGCGCGAGTACGAGGGGTAGGCGTAATCGCGCTCCCGTAGCGCCTCGTGTCGCTCGTAATACTCCGGCTTGATCATCTTCGTGCCGACGTACTCGACCTCGTCGTCGCTGTCCGCCCGGTGCCTCGGCCGCTTCGCCACCGGCGACGAGCGCTCGCGCCTCGCCGGCGTCCACTTCTCCGGCGGCTTGTCCTCGGGCAGCTCCAGCCGCTTGCGGATCTCCTCCTTACGCTGTTGCAGCTGTTCGTTGTGGATCTCGCGCATCCTCTTGTTCCAGAACTCGATCCACTCGGGCTTGAAGTCGTGCTTGCTCGGGTCGCTACCCTCAGCCTGCAGCTCCTTGTAACGCCTGTTCCAGAACTTCTTCCACTCGTCCGGGTAGGACGGGTGCTTCTCCGGGTTCTTCTCGTGGAACTTGAGGGCTCGCTCCAACGTCTCCTCGGCCCGCCTGATCTGCTCGCGATATTTGTCCCACTTGTCGCGCTCCCTCAGCGGAGGCTGCGGCGAGCGGGACCGCGAGCGCGAGCGTCCGCGCGCGCGCTCCCGCGAGGGCCGCAGATGCCGTTCGCGCGAATGCCGCGACCCGCTACGGTGGTACCTTCCTCCGACGCTCCTCTCGGCGGAGTGTCTCCTCCTGTTCCGGGTAACCGGCGAGCGGGACTTGGAGCGCGACGGCGAAGGGCTGCTGGAAATGCTCGACAGCGACGAGAGCGATTTCGTGTCGTCAGACGGACGTTTCGGCGTCTTCTTCGCGCTCTCCTCGGCCTTCGACGCCGGCTTGCGAAGGCTCGTCTTGTCCTTGGTGAACATGCGGATCTTGAAGCCCCTAAAATGTAAAAAGGATGTCTGCGGGGTGTCCCGAATATATTGCTTCCCGGAAGTTCCTACCTCCTAGGAAAGAAGAAAGAGATATATCGTTTCCCTGATAATTCGCGCTACGAAGGAAACAATGGAATAAAAACTCGAACTCGTTTCACCTTACAATCTGCTTAAGCGCTCCCGCAACTTTGGGCAGCGCTTTTCCTCAGAAATAACGTTACATTTCGTTGCAGAAAATTAGCAGAAAGTTAAAGACTCGTATCACACCTATCGTAGATTCTTAGGGAGATAACATATTGAGTCAGAGACACTCGAAAGACTCGAATTTCTCAAATTACTCTTTTACTGCCAATCTGCGCGTTCAACCACCCTCCGTCTCGCCTACTTACGATTTGGTGAGCTCTCCTTTGGGTTCTACTTTCTTCGGCGACTTTTCCTTCTTGTCTTCCTTTTTATGCTTGTTATCGGCCTTCCCATCGGTAGGCTGAGGATCTTGACGGAAAGCGACGGTTAAGAGAATTACAATCGCGAGGCAATACTCGGCCACTTAGTGAGTAGGATAAGTTTATGAAAGTACATCTTATACATATACTCACCTTTCTTCCTCACATTATTACCATTCAGCTCCGCCATTTTTTCATCAAAATTCGTCACCCATTTTACATCATAAACTTCCATAAACGTACACTCCGGCGTTTCCCTGTATGCAGGAGAAACAGCCGCATTGGTCTTTAAGGTCTCAAGCGTACAACTAGGGAATAACTAGCAGAAAGCGCGGTGTATACGGTATGTCGCGTTCGTAACTTTAAATTCGCGCACCGGGCGCGCGAGTCAAGTCAAAATCGGGCTCTCGTTCAATGAGATATATATATGAGATGTACATATATATATATTTATTTTCATCAGCGGGTGTGTGCTCTCGAACTTACCTAAAGTGCACGTCCTGATACACCCTCTTGATGTACTGCATCCTACTCTTCTCGAACTGCGACTTCTCCACCAACTGCGGCTTCATTCGGCCGAACTTCTCTTCGATCTTCTTCGCCACTAACACCGATATCTCATTGGCACCGCGCTTATAATTCGGAGTGCGGGGCAGCTCCGTGATCGCTCGCGATATGGTGGGGAAGTGCCGATTTAGGTAGGTGATGCGGTGATTGTAACTGGTAATGTGCGCCATTACCGTGCGCGGGTCGCCGCGCTTGTCGCACAAAACGCAAGTGTAACTCGGCTCGCAGGACTCGTTGTCGACCAGCTCCAGGAGGTACTCGAGGCCGACCAGTGGTGAGCTCTGATGCCGGTCCAGGCTCATCTGTATCGACGTGGTACGCGTGATCTGGTCCTCCGTGCCGGGTGGCACCGGTTCGCCGGGCGCCAGCGCGTCGCCGATCACGGTCGACTGTACCGCTGCCGTCTTGCTCTCCGGTCGCTTCGACCACAACATCACTGGGTACGGCCACTCGTCCAGCTTCATTTTGTGCCGGTTGCACTGATTGTGACTAATCAACTTATGCGCCCCGTATAGGGCAACGTTACAGATATGACACCATATATCACTGTCTTCGGTCTCGGAGTACACCGGCTTCAGCGCGCCGTCTTCGGCGGTGACGCTGCATCGCATTATGCGCTTGCGTTCGTGCTCTTCCTAGGGAATATACAAACGATTAACAACGATTCGTATCGGCGGTTCGATCTCCCGTTTCGAGGCGAGGATTTTTCTCGTTTTTTTCTCCCTCTCTCTCTCTCTCTCTCTCTCTCTCTTTTTGTTTCGTTTCTACGGAAGACGGAAAGATCGGTAAACCTCGCGTGTACGTTTGACGGCTTCACATTCACTCTCCGATTGCTCAATTGCACACGTGACGAAATACGTGAGACGATATATATGTATATATCGATCGTTCCTGCATCCCGCATCTTTCCTTTACCTTTTCCTTGTCCTCTTCCGATTGATGGGAAGGGCTAAGTCCCTCGATATCGAGATCGTCAAAATTCTGCATGTTGCGGCCGTAGTATGTGCGGACGAGGTCTTCGTAATATTCTCTGAAAATTATATCGAAATCTTTATGAGGCCGCGAAGAGGTAGTGCAGACGACGATTTGCATCAGGGTTGACTCAAAGCTGCATTTATACTTTTCACATTGCATTTCACTTACTCACACAAGAGAGATCTGAAAGTGACAAAGATAATTTTAGATCGTGCGGTGTGTGCGTGTGTGTGTGTGCCGGTTAGTCGGAGAATACTAGAAACATTAGAATCGTAATCCTGCAAGAAACGCAACGTTAACAAGCATTTGATATTGTGTGTGAGCCAACTCTGAAGTAATGCCACGGAATAATCAACATTAGAACTATCATTAAAATGTATTAATCATGATTCATATTTGTATATTATTTTGTAAACGAATTGTCCGTACTTACTTACCATCGCTGTCGCATTTGCTGTATACGCTCTAACATTTTAATTTGAACCGAACATCAACGTGTGCATCGTATTCTGATATAACACAATCAGAACAGTATCTCTCATCGTTTAACTTGACTCACATCAAACATTGAACGTATAAATGGTTTTTTTTTCCCAACACTTAACTTTATCTCAGGGAGATACAATGGAACTGTAACTTATTGTACTCGGCACACACGTGTGTGAGACATATATATGTCTGAGACACATGCGGCAAAGAGCAAAAAAACAAGAAACGAACGTTACCCAGAGAAAATCCAATGCTTTCGACAAGCTTCATCGATCTGTTTCAAAAGGCTTTTTTTTGATTCTGTCATAATGGTGTACATTTGTATTGAAAGCTACATGAGTGATCTTAATAGCGATAGTGTGTTTACAGTAATTACAGAAAAAACGGGAAACACAATTCCTCGGCGGGTTCGAACGCAGATGGATCACAACGCTCTATGCACAGAGAAGAATAGAGAAAGAATATACAGTATTTATTTTATCGTTTACGCTCGCCGACGGCCGCTATTAGTCGCTATTTACTACCTTGCTGGAGGTGCAGGAGGTACGGCTCCTCCAGCTACTTACCGATCGTACGAGAATCTCTCATGATTTCCGCGGGGAAGCTCGCCGGGGAGTTCCACCACAGCAGTAAAGCACAAGTGGCACAGAAACTGAACTGAATCTCCAAACGGAACGCGGAACGGGGGGCAAAGTTAAGACCTTCCCAACTTCGCCAAATCAACAAATCGACTAACGAGTGCCGACCGGCAGCTGACGAGAAAGAGGCACACACACACTCCCCGTTAATGTGTTGCTGATAGCTCCGATATATACCGGCGCCTCGCAACATCGCAGCGTGTATTTCTTTTTTTCTTTCTAGCTTTTGTACCGTACAAACCGATTCAGCTTTTATCGGCCAAAAATAATCGTCCGTTCGAGCGGGCACCGGAAAGGAAGGCACGGATGAGATGCGTGGTAAGACGCTTCGCGTCATTCGCGCCAGCCCTTCGTTGAGGCGAGACTCCGGGACAAACGCGAGAGAATCGCACCTGCGACTCGGCAGGAGAGAATTGTTTCTCGAAAAAATTAGACAGACACGTAGTTAAAAAAAAATGTCATTTCGACATCACATACGTTCATGCACGCACACACGCACTCACGCATTTATACGCGCGCGCGCGCGCACACATATATACATCTCGATGCCGACGTCGGCCCCGTCGTGGCGGAGTAAACGAGCGAACGAGATTGACTTACCCTGAGCGCTGAGGAAGGTTGCTTGCCGAGATAGCTCTCACGTCGTGGCTCGACGATCTCTCGATTTCATTTACGGAGATGCCTCATGGCCATGCCGTGAACGAGGCATTGCTCCCCCCGTACGTTCATCGACGACTGGCTCAGCTAGAGAACCGTACTCTTCGGCGCGTAGTACTGCACTTTCTACACTTGACATGAAACTGATGCAATCAACAGCTAATCGCAGACATCCGTAATGTCCGTGTCAGATTGTTGCGGATTAAGATTGAGATCGGATTGAAATGTAAAACAAAGTTTACCGAACTTCAGTTGCGACGTTTAGTTATTAGAAATGTGCGCCAATCGGAACACAGCATTTCCAAAACGTCACTATACTTCGCCAGACCAATCGCATTGGCGAATTAGCTGAACCGATCGATGCGATTCGTCGATTCCCTTGAGTTGATCGTCGATTAGATTCAAACCATGATGGTAAAAACGGGCCTTAATCGGTTAAGTTGCCCTTAAACTAAAAAAAACCTTTTCGTTTGATGACAAAGCACTATCAATGTATAATCAAAGAAAAAATGAAAAAAAAAAATAATTTAAACCAAAAAGATCGAAGGCATGAAACGTTGTCTCAACAGTACGAGTCAACCGGTCCGCGCACACGATCGAACCTCAAACCTCATAGAAGATGCGAACGCTGATGATTCCCGCGCAGCGCGTTAGGTCGATGGACACGGCGCCGGCGCAGCTGCTCGTGCACGAACTGTACGCATCGAAGACGAGCTCGAGGCGTTCTCGAGCGCGACCGAACGCCGGAACGCCGCTTCTATTAACCAGAGCGATGCGGCGCGACGCGGCGCGGACTCACAGTGCGCATGCCCCGGGCGGTTTATTATCTTCTTTCTGTTCAAGTGCCATTTCGTTGCATGCAGTGCAGTCTATAAAACAGAATGCGTTCTCAGCGGGTCTCGAGTTTCCTATCACTTATCGTCATTCGTAGCGTATAAACATAACAGCACGCGGTCATTAGCTCGATTCATATTGTTTACGTATCCGTCTGGCACATGGGAGCGCGGCAGGATCGCAGCTAAAATCGCGTTGGTGTCGTCTGGTTGGTCGTAAAAGAGTACGGGACCGCTCGGGATCGTTCGTGGCGTCTCAGGCGTCGTTGGATATTCGCGGGAGCATCTCGACGATACGGGCGCGCAAAAATGTCATGCAGCTACGCGGACGGGTTATCGCCGTACGAAAACAAAGGGGTGCTGGGACAGGAGGAGGTAAAAAAAAATAAAAAAAAATATAGGACCAAGTCCTTCCTTTGTTTTTTTTTCTTCTCGTCGTCTCGTTCCGTCTCTCTTCTCTTCCTCGTTTCTTTCTCTTCTTTTTTTTTTTCGCGGCGTTACGGCGCGCAAACGAGCGACAGTGAGTTTCCTCTCGGCGCCGATTTATTTCGCGGGGGTCGATCGGAGAATGGATGCGCGTCTTTGTTTCTTTTTTTTTTTTTTTCTTTTAATTCTCTCTCACCTCTTCCCTTTGTGTGTGATTGCAGAGATACGACACCGCGGAGACGCTTCGTCTGAAGTGTGGCCTCCTGGCCGACTGGATACAAGGCGCCCGTCATGTCGTGGTGCATACCGGCGCCGGTATCAGCACCGCCGCGGGTATTCCTGACTTTCGGTGACTATCCATGGCCGTTTCTCGATTACGAACTCCTTCCCCCTTTCCGTGGCCCGGCCTGTTGTTCCTTTTCCCTGTCAGTTTCCAGTGAGGATAGCATCTGATTTTATACCCTACAAGACAAAGAATGTTGAAGCTTGAGGATTAAGTACGAATTGAGATGTTGAGTTTTTAAAAATGTTATACTACAATATACTTTTGTGAAAAATAATTGGTTTCATACCAGTGTTGTGGTGTATCTTTGCAGTATGTATATATATGAATATGTTTACAATAGACCTTAAGTTTTGGTATTTTTTTTTTTTAGATTATTGCGGATTATTTAATGGATGTAAGAATATTGATAAATGAAGTAACATTATTTATAAGTTACTTATAAATTCATTAAAAAAGCAAGATGTTTTTATAATAAATATATCAAATAGGAAAAATGTAAATATTAAGATTACCGCTGTCACGTTACTGTAATTGTTTTTGTCAACAAAATGTAAGATAAGAATGTAAAATTTTGATATGGAAAGTGACATTGGTTAATTTAATTTAATTTAATTTTTGTTTGTATCAGGGGTACAAATGGTGTGTGGACATTGGAGCAGAAAGGTTTGAAACCTTCAATGAACATTTCCTTTGATGAAGCAATACCTACAAAGACCCATATGGCTATGAAAAAGTTGATAGAAAGCAGTGAGTATTAGTGAATAAGTTATGAATGAGTATATAAACTTATAAATATCTGATTATTATAAAATTTGCCTTTTTCCTTTTTTTTTCTTCAGAAAAAGTGAAGTTCGTTATAAGCCAGAATATTGATGGACTGCATCTGCGATCGGGAATACAGAGACAGTACCTTGCGGAGTTACACGGAAACATGTTCACGGAACAATGCGACAAATGTGGCAGGTTTGTATGCATAACAATGGCATGGAAACATTTGTAAGACATAAAAAATATATAGAATGTTTTAGAAGGTAGGTAACTAAATTTTAGGAACCTATTCTATTAATTTTAAGACTGAGAAAAAGTCATATAAATACACATATAAATACATAGATCGTATAAACCATAAGAAAACTCTGCTTTTCCGAAATATAAACATTTTCTTATTTACGGCATATTTTAATTGCACTGCATGAAAGTTTTTTAATCGTAATAATAACACTGGTTGATGAAGTAATAGAAAGGGATTAATTCTCCCGATTGAAATCTTTTTGAATTTTTTAATTTATGGGAATATCTGAATGAAAGATATGTAAAATTTGACTACTCGTTTTTCTTTTAACACTCTGTAAATCTACTATATAAAATGTATATAAAAGTGGATGTAAAATATAATATATAATATTACTTAAGATATTCACTTCGGGGAACGAGATATCTCGTTTTTGTGATAAAATCGCTCATACCAGCAATACCAACAAATTACCAACAAATTTATTTAAATTATTTTTTACTTGCAGGCAATTTATTCGTAATTTCGCCACCAAGAGTGTGGGAAAAAAGTCCCTGGATACCGTCTGCAGATCTGAACAAATAGGCGGTCGCCCTTGTCGCGGCCGGATGCACGACACCATTCTCGATTGGGAGCACAATTTACCGGACAGCGATTTGACACTATCTGACTTGCATTCCAGGTAAATGACGATAACACCATGTATTGCCACTTGAAATCACTAAAACATGACTTTGTTACATGAGAAGCAAACCTCAGCAGTTATTTTAAAAGCTGTAAAGCATATAAGTATATAATAGCGTACGTGATTTTAGGCTTACGGAATACCGCAGGTTTTGTAAAAGGGAAAGTTTTTGAAAATATTTATCCATAATGTACAGTCATGGATAGAAAGGTTACGACACTTTTTCTCGATGAGTTTCGCAACGCATCTCGTGTCCAATAGATTTGGTTTTCTTTTTTTAGTAATTCCCAGGAGATACATTTTCCTATTGGATACGAAATGCGTTTCGAAACTCATTGAAAAAAAGAAACTGTTGCCACCTTTCTGTCCACGACTGCACACATTGCGTTATGTACGCCTTACCATTGTAACTTGGATTACTCGTACGATTTTCCATCTTATATATACATATTTATATATAAAGCTGAAAATTGTAATTGTACGAGTAACCTTCGATATAATAATAAGGCACATATGAAATAACATATATTTGGTTTTAATACATTTGGAACATTTTTTTTCTCGATACTCGAAAGAACGTTCGAATTGCGTTGAACTGTACAACGATGTGCAGACGGAAAGTTGCGCGTCACGTTTATCACCGTCGTTCTTCTAGCGTCGCCGATCTAAGCATATGCTTGGGAACCACGTTACAAATCATTCCGAGCGGTAATCTACCTTTATACACGAAGAAATACGGAGGTCGTCTTGTCATATGTAACCTGCAGCCGACGAAGCACGTAAGATCCACCACGTCCTCTCACGCGCGCGCACGAGAATGCGTGATATTCCGTCGCTCCGCGACTCTGAAAATGAGAAATGTCATTGCAGGATAAGAAGGCCGACCTGATTATCAACGGCAACGTCGACGAGATAATAATCACCGTGATGAAGAAGCTGGGACTGGAGATACCGGAGTACGAGAGCAGCATGGATCCGACGCGAAATTCCGACACGACCGCCAAAGAGATGGACTGGACGATCCCGACGAGTAGAATAAAGGAGATGAATGTGCTGTACAAGAAGGTGTGCAAGCCGATGCGGAGGAAACGGAAAACGTTCATGTACGAGCGCGAGAGGACGGACACGACGAAGAGGGAGACGAAGGCCAGGAAGCAGGCGTTCACGGTGAAGCAGGAAATCAAAACGGAGGATAATAATCTGGCCGCGACCGGTGGGATGTACAAGGCCGAGGATGATCGTGTCGTACCCGAGGGGAATCCCGTCAAGACGGAAGAGAACACGGTGGACGTTGAGACATGTAGGTACTCGGTGGAGGACGTCACGACGGTCGAGCACAGCACAAATATGGAAATGAACCAGACGGTGTAGCAAGTTTGGACCGGGCGTTGATTTTTTCCATTCTATACATATATTTCGATTACTCTCAGTGTACGCTGTCGTTACTTATGAGTGCATACCGATTGATATTCATTCAATGATAAGATACGTCTCCGAAAGCGGAATATAGGTTTATATCTATTAAGTAGATCTCTCTCTCGCCCAAGACGTAGCTCCGTATTCTGAACTCTCTTTCGTCGATGAAAGCGCGCTTCTCTAAAAGTGGCTTGGGAAGCACTCGATCGGACGGGGAGCTACATTTCGAACACTTTTGTATCGATAAAAGAGACTTCCGAATACCGGCTGTACTCATCACACATTTAGCATTAAATACTAGTGCTGTCCGTCTCGACTATTCGAGTACCTGGGTCTTCCTGGATTATCCGGCCACCCGGATAACCGGAGACCTTTCGGGTGTCACCCGGATACTCGGGTAACTGAATATACAGTTAATTTCGGACGAGTTACAAGTTATTGATTGCTCGAACGATGACAAGCGAGCGAATATATCGCAGAGTCGTATCTACTTGTTACTATTTTCCGGCTGCCGGAGTAATATCCGCGATTGAGGATGTCGTCCGGGTGCTCGGGTAGTATCCGCGAATGTGTACACTCGGGTACACCGAAATAACCGGATTATACTGACAACAATATTAAGTACGGCAATCTTGTTCTTTTTTTTTCTTCTTTTTCTCGCATAACTTCTTCCACACGGAAGTCGAGGGTTGGATAGTGTGTAAACTGTTGAGCTGTAACACGTTCGTTGATTTTTGTTCCTAAGTACTTAAACGCTCTTGTCGCGGCCCCGTTCGGGCCGAATAATAATCAGCAATGATGTAATCAATCAAACTAGGTTAATTTCAGTTCGGTTCTCCGTCTCCGGCCGTTCGTGCAGCGCGCTTTCCCGACCGTCTTCTTCCCGAGAGCTTTCGTGTCTTCGAAAGGTTTAACGTTAAATGTGCAGCGAGAGAATACGGATATTCATTGATTTTTTCCATTGATCACGTAAACGTCATTCCCACTGTCTGAAGGCCCGGATCTGTTCCAGCAAATTGTCTGTATATATACATATTCGTCTCGGTATCTGTTGAAGTTGCGTTCCTCGTGGTATCTGCTTTTTACAACTCGCCTACGTATTTACGCATACGCATATTAGACAACGCGGGTTTGGGAGGGGGGGGGGGGGTTCAGCAATGAATCTCNGCGACGACGTGTTCCAGATTTCTCGTGCATAATACGATACTTTTTCCACTATAGATTAGAGTACTAAGGTTTAATCTATGAAAGAGATCTTCCTACAAGATATTTCGCCAGTAAGAACCTCCGCGGTCAAAAGACCTCCTTTCCTTTCGACCGACACGCTGAGCGTCGCGACACCGTCGGGACGGTTGAAATCTCTTGAAGTTTTGCGTGTTTGTAGAAAAAAAGAGATCCTTTCGGGGCGGGAG